TTTTTACATACTGTCACGCTAGCAGTACAGTGTAACCATGGTGACATTGTACTACTTGGGGGGGGTGATGACATTTTTTTTTTTTTTTACACAGATTGCTTTTACACCCATATAGGATGTAAAAAGCAATCATTTCTCTTTCTCTCTGTCTGCATTCTTGCAGCCATTGAGAACTACTGAGTGAGCTGTGATTGGTCACAGCTTGTCACATGGTACAAGGCTGTTGTGAATAGCCTTGTACCATGTGACCTCTGTGATCATTCACAGATTTCACAGGTAGTAAGCAATGATGTCACAAGTGACATCTTGCTTACTACTTTGCATGTGATCACTGATTGGCCAATCAGTGATCACATGATCGGGACCTCGTACAGAGGTGCCGTCCGACGATCGGTGTTTCACTTTGTCCGGAGGACACAGCGGGCACCGGATCGCAGTGCTGCGCGCTCCCAGGGACCGCGCACAAGCAGGGTGTGAGGAGGCCGTTTATAAACGGCCACCTGACCCTGCAGTGCCACTGTCTGGCCGTTTTTATATACAACGGCCGGACGGGAGGTGGTTAAATCATTTATTGGTGAAAAATGCAAATTAACCACTCACATGAAGTAGAAATAAAACACATATCAAGCTAAAAATGATAAACACTGGTGGTGTCGCTCCAATCTGCGTCATCAACCCAAGTCCTTATGGATGACGGCTTTTTAGCTTGATATAACTTGAGGTGATTGTAGCCGTATTAGTGCATTTGCGACAGAAACAATTGAGTACTGTCCGTGATACTTTTTTTATTTGCACTAACATACAATTTTGAGGACAAAATTGTATGTTAGTGCAAATAAAAAAAGTATCACGGACAGTACTCAATTGTTTCTGTAGCTTGATATAAAGAACAATGGAGAACCACCTGCGCTACCTGAATACACTATTATTCTAGGGATGGGTTTCCGCTGACACCTGGAAGGTGAGGGGGCAATCTTACTGGTGAAGGATTACACTTTTTGTTCACCTGCCAGATTTATATTGATCGCTGGAGGTTTCTATATAGCCATATTGAAGATTACACACATGGACGATTTGTTTATTAATAATTGGTGGCACGTGTTTTTGTGGACTTTATGAAAAAACACATAACTTGCATTTATAACAGAGTGGATTTTCAATTGTGGATTCACTCAATATTATATTTATTTTTATTTATTTTTCTTCCTGCTATTTATATAGCAGTATAGTCCCAAGTTTAGGGATGAAAGCACGGCAATTTATACTTTGGCACATGTGGGCACTTGTTGAGTGATGGACGCACATTTATGTTGAAGGATTTGTTATAATCCTTGTAGATTGTTTTATATTCAGGGTCCATTTTTCCTGACCGTCCTATTTGTTTTATAGGCCATCTGTCAATCTATTTCCACTGCACCTTTGGGAATTTATTTATGCCAAGTGTTTTATCACGTGTGGTTTAATACATGTTTGTGATTTCACCCTGTTTAGGGACACAAGTGGGTTTATGTATTGTGTTTTTATGCGTTTTGCACATTTTTATTTAATTTCATATGGTTTATCAAACATCACTGCATAAGATTGTATAATAATATGAAGAATTGAGTTTTGGGATAATTACACAGAGGGACGATTCACTAGGGGTGTAATTGGAAAACCTCAGTTTTGATTTAATTATTTATATAAGTGTGGGAGTTGCAGCACCAATTTTGTTATAATTTTGATCCCCTTCTATCCAGGTGTTTAGCCAGGTATCAGCGGCAACCCATCCCCCTAGAATAATAGTGTATAAAGGGTAGCGCAGGTGGTTCTCCTTTGTTCTTTATATCAATATGCTAAAAAACCGTCATCATCCATAAGGACTTTGGTTGCTGACGCAGATTGGAGCGACACCACCAGTGGTAGGAGATGCACAAGCTCAAAACTAGAGGATACATTAGCTCAGGAGCCCGTCTGGAGAGCATGGGAACTTGGCTGATAACCTAAGACGCTGAAGGCCATGGAGGGGGTGTGAATACACATTTCAAGGTGGTAACACCTCTTTTTTTCAAGCCTGTCATACGGAGGAATGTCTACACTCCCTTTATATGCATATATCGACTAGCAAACCCGACACACAAAATACAGGAAGCTGGGATAAACACACAGATTTATGGCTGCAACGCAGAGGTTGCTTGCGATGCCCCCCCCCCCCCCTTTTAAGGGGTTTCCCCCCTGGGACCCTGGCCCTTTCCCTACCCCTTTGGGCCCCGGCCCCAGGGCCCCCTTTTTCCCTTTAAAATTTTAAACCTTTTTTTTTTTTAATGTTTTCTTTCCCCTTGTAAATTGTCCTTTGGTTTGTGTTTTACGGAAATTTAAAATTTTTAAAAAAAACCCCTTGGGCCGGATCCAAAAAAAGGGGAAAAACCCCCCTTTTTTCAAATTTTAAAGCCGGGCAGCAGAAGCATGTCCCCTTTCCAAAAAGTTTTCCCCCGACTAACCCCATGGGAAAAAAAGAACCCAAATAACCAATAATTTCTTCTTTTGTAAACTGTTTTTTTTAATTTGCGGGTTTTAAAAAAAAACCCCTTTTCCCCTTTGGGGACGTTTTCCCCTTTATTCGGAAACTTTCCCCGTTTAAAAAAGGGATAAAAAACTGTTTTCCCAAATGGGGAAAATGAACTTTTATCCGGTTTTTTAAAGGGGAAAAAAAACCCCCATTTGGGATTTAACAAAAACTTTTATTTTTTGGTTTTTTTTTTTTTTGTCCCCAAAAAAAAAATTTAAAAAAACCCAAAATATTGATTTTTAAATATTTATTTTTTTTTTTTTTTTAAAAAAAGGGAGTTTTTTTTTATCTAATTACTTAAAATTTCTATTTTAAAAAATTAAAAAAACTATTTTAAAAAAAATAAAAAAAATTTTTAAAAATTTTTAAATTTTTAACAAAAATTTTAAAATTAAATAATTTAAGAAAAAAAAAATTTTTTAAAAAATTTTTTTTTATTTTAAAATTATTTTTTCCCAAAAAAAAATTTTTAAAAAATATTTTTTTTTTTTTTTTTAAAAACAACCCCCCCTTTTTATTCCCAATAAAAAAAAAAAAAAAAAAGGGGCCCAAAACCCCCTTTAAAAAAACCTTTTTCTTTTTTTAACCACCCCCCAAAAAACCCTTTTTCCCCCCCCCGGGAAAAACCTTTTTTAAAAGGCCCCCACAAAAATTTTCCCCCAACAAATCCCTCCAAAACAAAAAAAAACCCCCCCTAAAAAAAAAACCCCCCCCGGAAAATTCGCCCACCCAAAATTTTCCCCCCCACCCCCCAAAGGGGGTTTTCTTTAAAAAACAAAAATTCAATCTTTTTTAAAAAAAAAGCAACGGGGTTTTAAAAAAAAGTTTGGGCGCAATAAAAAAAAACAAAGGGGTTTTTTTCATTTTCCCCAAAAACGTACAAATCAAAAAAATTTTGGTTTAAACCCCCTTTTTTTAAAATTTTTTTTTTCCCAAAACTTTTCCCCACCCCCAAAACCAGGGAAACCCCCCCCAAAACCAAACCCCCCCCCACCCCCACCCCCCCGCGGGGTTCCAAAACCCCCCCCCAAAGCCCAAAACCCCCCCAACCATCACCCGCACCACCCCGCCAACTCCATCTCATCACAAAAACCATTCTCCCCCCCTCCCCCCCCCAACTTTCACCCCCCTCCCCCACCATATTCCTCCCCTTATCTCCTTTCCCCTTTTTTATTTTTTTTTTTTAACCAAACTTCCAAAAAAAACCCACAAAACCCCCCAAAAAACCCCAAAATAAAAATTCCGGAAAAAAATTTTTTTCAAAAAAATTTTCACGGGGTTTTTTAAAAAAAATTTAAAAAAAAGAATCCAACAATCCCCCATAACCCCCCTTCCTCCCAACAGCCTACCCAAAGCCCCCCGGGCAGATTGATAGCAATTACTCAAATGCTGTGCCAAGCCAGCTGGGGACAGGGCCAAGCTGCCTGCTCTGTGTCAATGGACTCAGACAGGGCAGCTCGGGAGTGAGCCTGCATGGGTGCTCCCATGGAAAGTGGCTTTCTATGGGTGCCCCCATGGAAAGTGGCTTTCTATGGGTGCCCCCATGGAAAGTGGGTTTCCATGGGTGCACCAGTCAAAGAGGAGGAGCCTGGAGCGCAGGTGGGGGACGACAGAAAAGGAGGATCAAGCCTGCTGTATGCAATACAATTGCACAGAGCAGGTAAGTATGCTATGTTTGTTATTTTAGTAAAAAGAAAAAAAAAGACTTCTAAAGTCCACAAAGATTAAATAGCATCAGGTTTGGGTAGGCTAGTTACTTATCTGTATGGTAGAAAATGATTCTTGGAAGAACAACATATTTGGTGTTCAAACTTAACTGAATTGAGAAGTGGTGATCATCCTAGAATAATGCTGTTTATCCACCAGCAATAATTATTTGTTAGACTAAGGATTTGATATCTTGAAACCGTTTTCTTTTATGTCAACGTGATTGTATGGCATTGTTTTCTTGTCATATTTTTTACTTTTTTTTTTTTTTTTTCTTCCATAAATACCTCAGGATAGAAATCTGGTGAGTCCATTTTTTTTCTATCTCCTATGCTTTTGTCACGTGCTTCCTATATTTTGTTCATCCAGTATTTATTTTATTAAAAAGCATTGCAACTTCTGGTTTCAGTGGTGGATTCTACATCTTTAGTCCCAATCTCTATATCTCTCCCATCTATGTTTTTTAGCTTTAATTCTGTTTCTTCTTTCTTCCCTTGTGATCGGTAACCAGCTCCCACTTTCCATATTCTCCCAGCAGTCTGCTCCTTATGGTACAGTCAGCAAGAGGAAAATAATCTGCCAAGGGATGGAATTGTTAGTGACTTGTAGATCAATAATTTCAAGCTTGCTTTATCACCTTGAGTTACAGCCACACAGCTAAAAGAAAGTATAGCAATATAAATAAGTGACAGACGGGGCAATTAGTAATGTTAGGAATGTTGCTGCAAGAATGTTTTAGATCTACATGTTTGTTTTTTGTTTTCAGAATTTAGCCCAAAAGCCTGTTATCCTTCGAAAAAGACGTCAGAGAATTAAAATAGAATCTAACTGGGAACTTTTCTACTACAGGTAAATTGTACTACATTTTAAGTGCTAATCGTTTTAGAAAAAGTTATTTTTTAAAACACGTGAGATTGTAAAATGTGTGTTTGTCATAGATTGTTAATAGTCCAGTAAATTAGAATGTGAGAATTTGATGTTAAATTCCACTAAACTCCTCTAAGCTGAACAACACACAACATAAATCAAAATGACTCCTTTCTATGTTTAGAACGCCTAATATGTTAAATAGCCAGTTTCCATAATTTTCTGTAATGTAGGCATTACACCATAAAGCAATGGCCTACAAACTGTGGCCCAGGGGTCAGATGCAACCCTTTGGTCGCTTTTATCTGGCCCATGGCGCACTATTTCATCCACTGACATCAACAATGGGGCATAATTCCCCCCCCAACTGACACCAATGAAGGGGCGCAATTCCTCCCAATGACACCAATGATGGGGCACAATGCTTCCCAGTGACACAAACGATGGGGCACAGTTCCGCCCAATGTCACCAACAATTGGGCTCAATAACACCAATGATGGAGCACAATTCCTCCCAATGACACCAATGATGGAGCACATTTCCTCCCAATGACACAAATGATGGGGCACAATATTACCCCAATGATGGCGCACAGTTCCGCTTAATGACACCAATAATGGGGCACAATTCCTCCCAATGACACAACGATGGGGCACAGTTCCTCTCATTGGCACCAAGCATGGGGCATTGTTTGCTGCCACTGATGCCTATACATGTTTTACACCCAGTGTCCACAGTCCGGTCCCCCTAAAGTCTGAAGGACAGTAAACTGGCCCTTTGTATATAAAGTTAGTAGACCCCTGCCATAGAGGATAGAAAAAGTGTAAGGTGGTTGTGTAATATGTACATTTCAAATTGGTATTGTGTTTACAAATTTAATTCCTAGATTTCATCAGGATCATGCGAGGTCAAATTTGATCTGGAATTATAAAACCAGGGAAGAGTTAAGAGACACACTTGAGGCTGAAATGCGAGCATTTAATGTGGACAGGGAGCTTGGAAGCTCAACAGTGATCTCTTGGAACCACCATGAGTTTGAGGTATTAATGTGACCCAATTGTTGAACATTTTTTGTGAGTTTGGTGATGAGGAGTATGGCTTTTTTTTTTATATATATATATATATATATATATATATATATATATATATATATATATATATATATATATATATATATAAATATAAATATAATAAATATATATATATATATATATATATATATATATATATATATATATATATATATATATATAAATATATATAAAGCAAGTAAGCATATACTTGGCTTACTTATGTTGTGTTTATTCAGAAAATTGAATGTATGCTAGCAGTGAGGAGGAGTTAAAAAAAAAAGCTAGCATCAATCTAAAGATGCTATTATAAATAAAACATCTTTAGCAGCTACAGCAGTCTTTGAAAGAATGGCTTAATAATCTTACGTTCGTGCCAGAAAACCTGGAGAGCTTTGAAAGTGTTACTATGTGTGGTACTCACCATTTTCACAGCCAAGTAGGACTTCTCACAAGAGAAATTAGTTAAAATGGTATTATTTGTTTTTACATATTTATAATGTGCTGCTATTCTCTTTGTTTTGTAAATCACATCCTAAAAAAACTTGTCTTTAAATACAGACATCCAATTCCTAAAGCCCCACTCCAGAAAACATGTATAGTTTTGGAAGGACTTGATAAGAATAAATCTGTCTAGTTTTTATTTCTGTCTGTTATTCAGTTGTGTAGATATCTAACCCCACCCCATTTTACTTAAAAGGGTGTTTAATTATCATACATCCCAGGACACAGGATATCAGATCCATAACGAGGGTTATGCTGTCATCTTCAGGTGATTGGACACTTGATGGCACATTCCTTTCTAACCTGTGCTGCTTTGGGTTTTAGGGGCCTCATGGCTTCTTGCTATGTTACCTCTATCATCCCCCCCACTTTCATTTTCGGTCCTTTGGGACATCCCTATCGTAATGTATATGAAGATACACGGTGTCCTGGGATGTACTACATGAAAATAATAGATTTTACAGGTAAACCTAAAATTCCATTTTTGGTGAATCTGTGTACTATCTGGACAGATTTTCTATCACTTTCACTTTTTCTGAGGTGGATCCACAGAATAAAAAAATAAATAAAATAAAAGCATCCCTTGGGTTTCATCCTCCTCTCCCTTTTTTGAAAAGAGAAAAGAAAAACACTGTTTTGGCTTGAACTGGGCTTTAATTAATTTAACATTTTTGGCAAAATTTATGTAACCAAAATGATACTACCATTATCTAACGTCTCCCCAATGCTCAAATCTAGCCTCAGAAATAGACTGCAGTATAGAAACACCTGATATATTACTAGGTTTATTTCATGTGGGTTTAATTAAGGCTCTGGCACTGTGCTGGGGTGATTGTGTGTATTATTATGTTTTTTTATGTAAAACAATGTATATGTGCAGCAAAGCTGTTGCATTGCTGTATAATTTTAATTAGCAGAATTTGTCCTCTGTCGTTGTCTTAGAATAGTCTTTTTTGTACAATGAATTTGTCCTTTCCTCAAGGTAAAATATGAGTGCCTCGCTGACGAGATAAAAATAGGAGATTACTATCTACGATTACTTTTGGAAGAAGATGAGAATGAAGAAAGCAGTGTTATAAAGCAATCGTAAGTACGCACATGATAGATACATTTAGTAGTAGTGTATTCTGATTCTGGATATGTCCATATAAAGCTTATTTGCATGTTTTGCTGCAGGTATGAATTTTTTAATGAACTTTATCACCGATTCCTCCTCACTCCTAAAGTGAACATGAAGTGTTTATGTTTACAAGCCCTGGCCATTGTTTATGGCAGATGCCATGAAGAAATAGGGCCTTTTCCAGACACAAAGTACATCGTTGGAATGCTTGAGAGGGTAATTTGTCTTTCTTGTGATAATAGAATTAACAGTCATGTTTTAGGCAAGCCATCGAATAATCAATCGATTCACCCATCAACACAGTCAGTGTTGATGAGGAAACCCTCAGGCAGTGCTATTGTATTCTGCCAGCATAGGGGAGGGGGAGCCTTCTCAGCCGGCAGAATACAATGATCACTGCTAGCAGCTATAAAAATCCGACAGCCTGCTTGTACATAAATCAAAATTCGGCCAGTCCCTGCTGAACCAGCTAAATTTTGATCCATGTCTTTAGTTGTTCTTTCTTAGAATTTTTGTCCCCCTGCTAGGCTAGCAGCTTCTCTTGACGAACTGGACAGACCATTAGATAATATTATAGGCTGTCTAATTGTGGAACAACAAGAACCTTCAGATACATCTTATGGGATTGCTGAAAACTTTGCTTTTGGTCCTGAGTCTACTGTTAAATTAGTCTACGTGGGCTATTCTATCAGGAAAAAAACACCTTAAAGTGCTCCTAAACAAAAAACCTCATAGGGCGCTCCAAAAACGCCCACCTTTTTTTTTTATCTTTCCCCTTACTTTTTATTTCTTCTGGTTTTCCATTTGTTCTTGTATCCCATTTCACCTGCCCTCCTGCCACCTAACCATCGTCCCAACTCTCAGCCCATATAAATTACACAATAAACTGTTCTCAAGAACAGTTTAATTGCTTAGTTGCAAAAATTACAAAGCACCATTTTGTTCAAATATTTTTGTCAGTATATCGATGATACGGAGGTCTTGTTGGAATACACCAAATACCTGATTTTATAAAATGTACTTTACCTATCCACAATCTAGAACGGTAATGATAAAATACTATGTTCAAAATTTAATAAATATAGGAACAAATACTGTCAAGTTTAAATGGTTGCAGCACCCTCAAAGCGTCTCCTTTTTACTGGACCTTTTAATGAGCAAGGTCTGATACTTTTTGAAGCTTGGCTGTTTCCTCAACTTTTTGACTTTAAAGGCCTAAAGGAATGTAGACTTTTATGATGTGCTTTGGGGTTTTTCTTTTAAGGTCAAGGTAAATTAATCGATATTTTTAAATCTATTTTTAAATGAAAAATACATACTTTTTTTAACTGTAAATTTAATTTTTTGGCATTTGATTTGCTTAATCTTTTTTTTTTATTATTACTATTTTAGTGCACAGACAGACTAGAAAGGGACAGGCTCATCCTATTTTTAAACAAGCTGATTCTTAATAAGGTAAGTTATCGGTATTTGATGTTCATTAAATATTAAACACCTGTAAACTTTCTTAATGCTATAATTTTGCCCTTAGGGCCAGTGTCGACAGGCTTTGATGGCCAAATGCAGCATGCTTTTGACATAAGTTTGAGACACCTGAGATCTTTCAGGATTCATTGACAGCTGCCTTTGACCTGCAATTCAAACAGAGGTAGGGGCGAGGCGCTGGACATGAATCTCCAACTGATACAAATAGAAATTCTTAGCTCAACCTGATGGCTTAGGTTCTACAGGTCTCCTCAAAACCTTGTTGTATAGAAGGCAGCCAATGTGTTTAGGAGGTTCTTGTTGCTCTGCCACCAACATAAGCATTCACACAGGATCTTACTGTTTTGATGTTGAAGGGGAAATTGGTTGGGCCTTGAAACGTTTTTGGTTTTTTTTTTCTTTCTTTTTGTTTTCATTTTGGTAACTTGTGGAATCGAATACTTGGTGCTTTTTTTCAAGCTCCTTTTGCATTAACATAGACTCTGGAGTGAACAAAAGCCCATTATCACTGACCCTTGTTAGTTTTTTTTTTTTTGTTATGTTTGTTTAGGTGAGTTTTTGTACTTTTTGATGAGTAAAACTACTTGACAATTTCTTCTGTCTCTTGAGGGAGTTTGTTTATAAATTCCCATCATTTTTGTTTTATTATTTTCTTTTACAAAGAGATTATTCAGGTTTTACAAGAAGCCAATCAATGCCTCAACCCACCAGACTCCACCCATAGTAAACTGCAATTGTAATTCTTAATCATGTACAATAATTGTCATATGGAGCAAAGCATTTTGGTAAAATGCAAAACTAATAGGCAAAGAAAAATTTGTGCATATAAGACATTTTGATCTATGACAGGATAACCACAGACTAGTGGAAATTGTGCTGTGTATGCTTAGCTGTCCAGAGGTTTGCTGCAACTATTATAAAATGAAATGGTTATGATCATAGTTTAAAATAGAAGCTTTCTCTGATTTTTTTTTTTTTTTTTTTTTTTTTTTTTCCCCTACCCTTCAAGAAAAATGTGAAAGATGTGATGGACTCCAATGGAGTCAGGATCCTGGTTGATCTCCTCACCTTAGCACATCTTCACACCAGCAGAGCTACAGTTCCACTTCAGGTAAGCAGATTACCTGTAATATTTTCTGTTTTTTCTGTTTTTTTCAGTAATCTTTTACTTTGTTTACAGGACTGCAACTAATGAATTTTTTCATTATCCATTAGCTGGCCAATTATTATTTTGATTTATCAAATAAAAAAAATCAAAATAAAAGTGTGCAATTTGGGTAGAATGGTAAAGTAAAAAAAAATACTCGTGAATATCTATATGCAGTTGTAAATCTAAATAACCAGCTATAATGTTAGGGAAAATAATATCAAATCCACTCTCAGACTAACAGAAGAAAAGTAGTATAAAAAACATATAGATGTTGGATCTGGTACATATCATCAGACTCTGAGATCAAATTTTTTATTGAAAGGGAATTTTTTTTTAAAAAAAACCTAAAACATGATTTTGCAGATAGGACTGTAATATTATAATATACATGACAAACCCCCATGTCAGAGTCAGGTAGGTTGATACAAGCTTCCTGTGCCTGCTGACACTAAGACATTTTGGTAGCAGCAGCGTGCATTTTGTGTCACCTGTCATGGTGGGGTTAAAAAAACAAAAAATAGCCCTATCATAGTACAAAAACAAATATTTCTATATGAATGGTGGGGGAATATAAATCTTTTTATATTAAAGTAGTATTAAAGGCTGAGACTTTTTTGCATGGATATAATCATTTTTAAATTTAGTTGTTGTGGCTTAATTTACCTCCAGTTTATCAGCCTCCATCTTCTCTGGGTTCAGATGCTGATCTTGCCTGCACAGAGCCCTTAAAGGATAGGTTCACTTTTTTGCAGGTAAAAATATATGCATTTATTATTGTTTTTACTAGGAGCCTGAAAAGAATTGCATCCACGATCTGCAGACTGCGGGTGGCATGCAGGACTCCTGCAGACTTGTTAATGTATCTGTGTGCTCGTACCTTGTACAAACAGGCAGTTACACACTGACAGGAAGAGATAACTACCTAGAGCCCTCAACAGCGCCCTGGTAGTTCATTGAGAACTACAAGCCAACAGATACATTAAGCAAATAAACCTGCCTTTAGATGCACTTTAAATCCCTTCCTTCTCCTGCCCACAATCCCAAGTTTTCAGGCACTTACTGACATGTATGGACAGTGTACTGAGCTGTATGTGTTCTGTATTATGTATACTGACAAGTATACAACTAATGCATTCTGTTTGCAGGCCAACTAATTGATGATGGAAATTGTTGACTACTATTTTTATTATCGATTATAATCTATTCTATCAATTAGTTGTTTCAGTCTTAGTTACACTAAAACTGGCCATACACTAATAGAAATTTGGTCAGTTTAGTTGGGACCATCCAAATTTCGATCAGTGAGTAGCTGTCCTGGCACGACAGAAGTTGATTGTCTGAGCAACTTCTGTCAAAGGGACATGCTGGAAATTTTTTCTCAATCGTTTGCAGCTGAAAAACAAAAAAACTGTCTATGGCCAGTATAAGGCTGATGTCACGCTGGTGATTCTGTAGCAATAATTTGTATCTACTACAGAGTCGCTCTCATTAGGGCATTTTTCACCATGTAACATGGTTGCAAAAAGGTGAATTTGACCTTCAACCAAACATTCACTGCAAGTGTAGCTTTCTGGTGCATGTGTTAATTATGACGATTGACTCACCTGCACCAAGTGTTTGGTGAATGTCACATTTAAAGGTTATCTTCACCTTTGTACCTGGAAAAAAAATAATTTCTTCCTAACCGCTCCCCAATCCTTCTTTCTCCTGCACTTGTCTGTACTTTTTTTCAATTATCCGCCACCTACAGTTGTTAGTGGGCAGATGCATACACAAGCTGCCGGTGCACAGATCCGTACACAAGCTGTGTAGAAGCATAATCTGTGCAATGTCTCCCTGGCCAACGAGAGTCTTTTCTTTTGCCTTGGAAGTAAGAAGAGACTCTCAATGGTCAGCACTGTCACATAACTACACTGACCAATGACCAGTAGCCATTGCAGCCATTATGTTTCTACACAGCTTCTGTGGCTGTGGACGGAGTGTTCAATTATACTTATCTGTACACTGGCAACCATGGATGTTGGATGATTGAAAATAAATACAGATATGTGCAGTGGGGAAAAGAGCAGGGAGGCTGTTAGAAGAAGTTATATTTTTCAGGTACAAAGGAGGAAATGAGCTTTAAAGGCTATCTCCACTTTTAGCTACATGTTACACCTGTATTTAGGCTCCACCCACAAAGCTGCACCATTCATTCACAGAGAAGTGGGCCTGAATAAACTACTAGTCCCGTCTTCTACTGTGGTAGAGGAACTTTGTAGTTCTCAAAGGACTGAGTGTGCTGGCACTTCCTGCAGCTCAGTAACTGAAAGCCTGTACAGGAGTATCACTGATGGTAGCTGCAATACTTAGCAGACTGCTGTGTAAAAAATAATTGCACATTTTTATATCTGCATAAACCTATTGGAATATTTTATGTTCACCTGACTAAAATTTTTAGTCCCGACTATAATAAAGATGTATGTAAAACCATATATTTGTTTTTCCTGGGTTTTTTTTTTTTTCCTTCAGAGCAATGTTATTGAAGCAGCTCCTGATATGAAGAGAGAAAGTGAAAAGGAATGGTATTTTGGTAATGCAGACAAGGAGAGAAGTGGCCCTTACAGTTTTGTCGAGGTAAGGTATAAATGATGGTTTCTAAATACATTTTTTGGTGACTTAAAAAAACAAACTAGGAAATAATATCTGGAAAGGTTCTCATTTATCCAGGTCATAGTATATTCCTAGTGGTAGCTGGTTGCATTAATTTGGACTTGTCCTGCAATGATGAAGACATTGTGCCACTCATTCTAGGGTTTCGGACAGTACAACGGTTGCAGATGCAGGCATTGAAAAGGTTACCAGAAAACAAAGTAACAGAGGCAATAGGTTGAATGTGATGTGCGTGGGGGGTGACAATTATTTTGTAAAACATAACCAACTTTGAAGAAATGGAAGAAGCAAGAAAGAGAGGAAGCCCAGCTTGGGTGGGCAAAGGGGGAAAGGAGGAAGGCACTGGGGGAAAAATGGATGAGCTGGGGAGAGAGAAGGGGGTTTAGACCAGGATTCTCAAGAGTCACACATAAAAAAAAAAAAAGAAATAGACTTTTTACATCATGATTCAAGGTCAAAGTTGGCTGGAAGGCCACCGATTGTTCCCAGAGCCTGTGAAATTTGGGCATAGTGCCTTGCAATTTGGTCGTTAGCTTTTCATTAAGTAATGTCCAGTGTAACCTAGATGTGACCTCTATCACATGTAGATTTTTTGAGAGCCATGCCTTAGGCTAGTCTCTGTTTCATTGCTGTCAGAGCACAGGTCACAAGAGTAAATGGTTACTTGGAGATATTGATGGCTTCCAGATTTAGATACCATTCATATTCTTAGGAGGCAATTGTTGGAACAGAATATGTAAAATTTTGTATACTTGCGACCATAAATATTGGACAGAAGGGCAAGTCCACCAGGTATGTAGTAGTGTGCCTGGTCCTAAACAGTCATAAGCTAGCCTGGAGCTACATAAGTCAGTCGACTGAATACAACATACCACCTAAACAGCACTTTATAAGTACTGAAGCATTGCATGAACATAATTTGGTAGTATCCCTAATCTGAGCTCACGCATCATGTTCCATTTCTGTCCCCATATCTAGTTTGCTTTTTGGTGCATGGTCTTGGAGTGTACTTGGATAACAGGGTTCTATAAGGAAGTGATGTTGCTTTGGTTCTACTGATTGTCAGGAATAAAAAACCCAAATTTGTAGCCACATGGGTAACCTAATGCAGTCACCATGGAATGGGTCAATGCATGTTGACTATCCAAGACCTTGATGAGATGCAAATGTTTCCAAAATCACCCTGTTTTAATGCTCACTATGGTGCCACAATGTCATTGGAAGCTGTTAATTGTTCTTATCTGACTAAGGTTGATTTTTACTGCAACTAGGTCTGATTTCTTTGACAAGCTCTTCCTTTCTGAAGCCTTCAGGGCCCAAGCTTTCTGACTCTCTGTCTCTCTACCTAATCCTCCTATCCTATTCAAAGAAGATATTGTGGAGGGTGAGGTGGATGCAAAAGCGGATCCAGCAGAGGAATTTTCACGTTCTTCATTCCGAGACATTAGCTAAGGCTTCACACCATTTGTTTTCTACCATGACCTCACTTATTAATGAGGCGCACACTAGCCTTTTTTCAGAATCTCCTCAGTCTGAAAAAGTTCTTATGGACACTAAACGGCTGACAAAGTTTAAAAAGACCTTTACCCTGCTGAAACAAGTTAACTGTGCCTTGCATGAGGATTGGCTAAATCCTGAAAAGATGTTCCTTTCTCCAGAAGTCTTTGTATGTTATATCTTATAGAAAAGGAATTTATGAAGAATGGTCTTATCTTGTAGTAGATCTCAATAAGCATCTCACCTCTCATCTGGTCCCATTAAAGATGTTCCTTCCTTTAATAATTCTGGGAACAGGCTCTATGAAATCCTAATGAAGGCATCCTTTGCTTTAGCTGGTCCTGCCTTACAACCAGGCATTGACTACTAAAACTATTTGTCAGGCTGTGGCTAAGTTGGCTGGACAAATAAATAGAGATCATATTCTATGCTTGCAGATCCTGTTCTCCTAGAACAATTGCAGCCTATGCCTACGGCACTACTATTTTGTGTTGATGCCCTGGAGAATGTTATTCGCCAGGTCGACACTGTTGTCTTTGCACATTTGTTTTCTGAGCCTGCGTTTAAAATAGCGTCTCTTACATTGGTGACTCCTTTAATAAGCTTATGAAGGAAGTCACTTGGGGGAAAGTACTCCTCCCCCACTAAAAACAACCTAGGCCTGCTTCTACGGTTTACTACCTCTTCTCGCTGAAAGGTGTTCTTTCCATTTTCTGAGGGCGTTGTCCTCTAAGGCAAGGTAGAGTGCATATTTTGATTGCACATTTTGGACCTCAAAACTCTCTCCAGGCCTACTCAGAAACCCTTGTCCCAATGATCGGGCATTCCCACTCTCTGGAGTGGGGGGATCATCTGTTGGCCTTTAGCGCCTGTCTGGATCAGAGATATTCTAGACTTGGAGATGCAATCTGTCATTTCCAGGAACTGCGAAATAGAATTTATCTCTATGCCCCCTCCTCGATTCCTACTTTCCAGTCTGCTAGCTTCACCTCAAAGACCCCAAGGCAGATTTGTGGGCTACCCTGAATCAACTGGGGAGTGGTAATCCCATTTCCTGCAAAAGAAGGGTTCAAAGGGTTTTGCTCAAACTTATATACTGTCCCAAAACCAAATAGAGGTTCTGTATACGGTCATTACTTCCATGATGGCAGTGCTCAGCAGCAGCCGTACGACTTTTGGATGTCTACCAAAGTGAGTCTTTTTACAAGTAAGTAACTTGCATAACATATGCAATATGTTGAAATCTTATGCAAAAATTGTTGTTAAAATGAATGGTTTGGCAACAGTGTCTCTTTACAAAAGGCTTAGCAATGTCCTTCTCTCGTTCAGCTGTCTTAAAACTTTTAGGGCTGAGCTCTCTACATTCAAGAATGACCCTGCTATGTAAACCTATTTGTTGTGCTACTTGGTTGTTTTCCTTAAATATTGAGTCATTTTCCCAGCATTATTTTCTGACCATGTATAATTAAAGAGGACATTTCACTGGAAAGCTTGTTGAACACCCCTGGGGACCCTGCTCACATAGTACTTCTTCCCAGTTAAAGCCCCTCCCACTTGCCAAGCTAGTTGATCACACTGAACAAGGAAGATGGAATTCTGACTGACTGTCCTGCAGAAGAAGGGGAGTGACAGGCAGTGCACACACAACCTGCAGAACTCCTGCAAGACAGAACAGTGATGTTCTGTGCAGTGCTGTCTCCTTATCTGTCATGTTACACTGAGTCTAGATTTTTTTGCTGGACAAGTGCTATTCAGGGCACAGAGCAGGAATTGTCAATAACTGTAATTGAAGAAGAGCCCTTTCATTAAAAACAAAACAAGCTGAAAACAGCACAATTATCCCAGAGAGACTAGTGCAGTTGCTAGTGTGGGTTCTCAGCTTTTTTTGTGAATGTGTCTGGAGAAGAGTGCTTTCAATCATTCACAATACAAGCTGACAGTTTCCTTTGTGTCCTGAATAGCAGGCACCAAGTCCAGACTCTGTGTGCACTAAACAGGAGAGCTAAGGAGGCATGGATCTGCAGAATGGGAAGGGGACAAGGCTCCCTGCTGGCTGTAAACCCCTTTTCCCACCATTGGAACGCCCATATTTTTAGGCTTCATGAGGAACAATGACAGAAAATAAAGATTGTTTTTAGCATCCAATGCTCGGATTTTAATGGGGACAGCAATTTGTGCACAAGGATCCCTGGGAGGTTTAATAAGCTTTCTATTTTTACTTCTGACAATACTAGTAATAAAATGGCTCTTTTTTTCAGCATAACAATGCAGTCTTATTTTGATAGATGCAAGAATTCTGGAGCAAAGGAGTACTAACTCCGAAAACGCGCTGCTGGGCCCAGGGAATGGATGGTTGGAGACCTCTGCAAGTCATACCTCAGCTGAAATGGTGCTTGCTGGCAAGTGGTCAAGCTGTCCTAAATGAAACTGATTTGGCCACTTTGATTTTAAATATGCTTATCACTATGTGTTCATACTTTCCCAGCCGGTAAGCTACTGCAGATAATGTACATTGTAACCTTTTTCCATAATTTATTTTGTTCTGTTTGTTAAATGACAATGCATGCCCAAAGATCCTTGATAGGGATAAGGATACTGTTTGCATCTAAGGTCATTTTGGTTACTCGTATAAATCTAACGTGTAAGCTTTCCAAGCCTAGCATTGAGAACCCAATTATGCCGACCAAGCCCCCGTACACACAAAAGTGATATAAAGCTGAATCTTTGCTTGAACACTTGTATTCAGTACACCCTTTTCTGTTTCAATAGTTTTATTGTTTTTCAAGAAAAAATATTAGGCTGTACATAGCATCAAATTATACAAAATACGTTGGTAGAATAGTTATGTAGAGCTACAAACACAGAAATGATGGGGGCTTGTGTAGGAGAAATCAAGATGAGTGTCTGAGGTAGATTAATGAAGACTGTAATCTTGGTTCACTGAGATATATAGTTAGGTTTGCAGGAGATAATGGTGGTGTTAAAAAAATGTATATTGTGGTATAGTAGGGGTAGTTATGAAACCCCATGAAATTACTAAAATGAACCTGGCGTAAATTGCTCACTATGAAGAAGGTCTGTTAGGAGTGAGAGGAGATGCGTGGCAAGCACTGAGGTGGGAAGGACTAGGAACAGAAAGGAAGTTAAGCATTCATTTCTGTAAGAGATTTTAATCAATTGATGGTGACAGAGTCAGTGCTCTCTGTTCAGAGCAGCTGTGAGAACTCAGGGATCAGCAGTCAGTTCTCACACTTAGAGCCAGCAGTGGAGAGATGCAGCATGGGACCGATGCTGCATCCACCTAGGTAAGTATAATTGGGGAAAAAAAAATCCAAACCCCTACTTCTTCTAAAACTCTCAATAGCATAAGGGATTTAATTGCTATATAGCCCTAGCCTCAATTTTTTTGATGACTGATGTAGAACCAACAAGTCCAAGTGTAGTCAGAATTCTGTGTACTTGTTCAGGTCAGTAACTGATTCGCTTTAATTTCATGGGATTATTTTTTGTTTAGTGATGAAGACAATGCCATTATTAGACCTTTACCGAAAGTGAAAAGACTGCTGACTGACAATACCTGCCTTCCACACATCACACAGGTCAGTAATACTTAAAGCAGTATTAATCCGCACCCAAAAAAAATTGGGCCCTCGGGCAGTTTGTCATAATGTGCACAGCATACTAGCACATTATGACAGACTTACCTGAACACTAAGCCCTCTAGCGGAGCACTTTCACCGCTGTAGGTGCTTTCGTCTTCACCCAGTCTTCCTTCCAGGTTGGCGGGCATCGGCTGTATAAATGGCCAAGTCAGGAGTCAGAGCCGCGGCACAGTTCATTTAAAGCCCAGTGCGGTGACATTACCTGCTGATGCTAAAGGAAATATCTCCTATACACATTTGGGAGATATTTATTGTACCTATAGGTAAGCCTTATTATAGGCTTACCTATAGGTAAAAATAAATTACCACTTTAAGGTTTGGATCATACCAAGATAACAGTCTTCCCATCCCACTTTCTGTTTTGAGCTATGTTAAACCGTCTTCCTACATTGTAAATGACAGTTACTGTTAACTTTTTTTGTGGGGACATGGGGGAGAGGGATGGGAGCTGTGCTGGAGTCTTCTGCCTCAGCTGAAATTTCTTTTCATTTCACCTATAGCTTTTGCTGACATTTGACCCAATCCTGGTAGAGAAAGTTTCCATTTTGCTCTATCACATCATGCAAGACAATCCCCAGCTGCCTCGTTTCTATCTCACTGGAGTGTTCTTCTTTATAATGATGTATACCGGCTCCAATGTGCTTCCTATAGCCAGGTAAGTGGTAGCCATCCAGGCCAAACTACAGGTGAAGGACTGTTTACTTCTTTTTTTATCTATATGGTTTGTAAGAATAAAAAGATAAAGAGACACCAGTGCAAAATATTGCAACTGAAGAATGATTTTTCGTTATACATTGATTGCATGTACCATTCAAGCAGAGAAAAGTATCCAACTCGACCATCTAACCCTGCATTAGATAGTTAACTCACCTGTTTTAACACACATTTGAAATTTAAAGTGATTGTAACCTTTTTTTTTTGTTTTTAAATAATAAATTGTGTCATACTTGCCTTTTCTTCTGGAATCCCCCATTGATGCTCCTGGCACCACCTCTTTAGGAAGTGCCCCCATAAGAAGCTGCTTCCTATGGGGGCACTTGTGCAGGTTCCATCCCAAGCTGTACTTTATGCGTCTATAGACACAGGCAGCTCGGCTCAGCCCCCCCAACCCGTTGTCACAGGATTTGATTGACAGCAGTTGTCAATGGCTCCTGCTGTTATCAGTCTGCCCTGTGGAGAGAGCCGCTGCTCTCGGGCACAGCACCAGATTGAGATCAGGCTCTGGTGTGTATAAGGTCTAATTCACACTGGATGTTTTTCAGCTGCTCTTAGGGGTGGCTGTTTTTTTTTTTTTTTTTTTTCTAGTCTGCTTCTAAATGTCCCTTCATGTTAGCATATGTGTCCATGCATGCATAAGCTTGAAGAGGTGTTTAGAGGCAGAAGAAAGAAAACCCAATGCCAGTGAGTCCAGGAGCAGCAGCGTTTGGCACTTGAGCGTTAATTCATTTCAGTGGCCAGATAAATTATTATTCTGACCAATGAAATGAATTAATGCTCTAGCGCTTGATGCGCCTAAATGTGTTACCTTTTTTTGCCAAAATGCTTCTGCCAGGTAGGAGAGTTGGCAAAACGTCCATTGTACATGAGGCCTAAGGTGGAAATCCTGTGGCACAGAAGGTTTTTCTTTTTTCCTTAATTCAGAGAATGCATTAAGGTAAAAATCTTTAAGCCTTAATAACCACTTTAAAAACACAAGCCAATGTAATTGTATTATGCTGTAAATTCATATAGAGTTTGCTAAAGAGTAGATTTGATTAATTGACTCAGCATCTCCTTTTAATTTTTACAGTTATAGTTAGTATAGGTCGGATTAATTAAAATTAATTTTATCATATAGTCTGTTTATACTGATTCATATTGTGACACTGTTAAGTAGTACAACATTGTTTTTAAAGGGTTTTTGTATAAAATGCTAATGCATTCCTGGCTTCTTTGGGGGTAGGTCACTCTCCAGAAATGTATAAAGTATCATACTAGGGACATTGGAGGTGACGCAAAGGCAGTTTCTTCTTTTTCATCCTACAATGGTGTTACTAGATATTCCCACGATTTTTGTTGAAACGGGGAGATTTTTACTACCATCCAGTGTTCAGTTTCTGAGGTTTTTTTTTCCTGAGTTTCTATTTCAGTCTGTGTTTTGTATATTTACCGTCACTTCTTGTCTGGTAAAATGTCAACCAGGACAAAAGAAGTGAAGGTATATCTCAGTAACAAAGCTCTGAATACCAGTGAAAAACATGACTGAGGATCTAACTGATAAGCCTTTGTAGCGTTTTTACCATTTTCATGATTGTGGGTAGATCTCCCTTCCTTATCACCTGATCAATAATTGTACTACAAAAATAAAAAAAAGAAACTGCAACCTGAATATCTACTTTAGGCATACAAAAGCTGTGAGAAATTCTCTCTAGGACTAGAAAAAGCTGCAAGCTAATAAGAGCAAGAAATTACATTCTGTACATATTCTGTTCACAGAATATCTTTAATTGCCATAAATATAAGGAAATTACATTTTATTTCTTTTTAGTAGTGTTAGAAAATTATAGTGTCTGCGGTTTAAAAAGGAAAGTTCATTTTTAATAGAAGTTTTGCCAAACATCATCTTAAAGAGTTTGCCACTGGTGCGCAGGTCTAGGCTTACAAGTGTAGTCATCTCTCTTTGGAATCTCTGAGAAATATGTTGTGTTTTAACTCCAGCATGTATCAAAAATATCTTATTTTTTATTATCTGTTTATTTTTTTGTAATGCTAATGCATACTGTTATGTAATTCATTTCTCTTTTATAAAGGTTCCTGAAGTACACTCATACCAAGCAAGCTTTCAGATCAGAAGAGGTCAGTATTAGTTATGGAAACCCTGTGACTTTTGAAAACGTTGTAGTAAATAGGACATTATTTACTTAACTGTGTTTCGAAAGGGACCCTTCTGGTATCCCAAGATGATGGACCATGCTCAAATATTTGCTTGGTTTCGGTTTACACCATGAATCACATAGGAACACTTTGTGCGTTCCTTTGCTATTCACGATCTGGGTGCAGTGCAATTTCAGCCTGTTCATTAGAATGGACTGAATTCATGTGGGACTGCACCAAAAGTAGTGCACACACTACTTTATAAAATGCATGAGTGGATCACATGGTATTACTATAACATTACTATAAAAACATTTGGGGTGTTAACAGTGACACGTGCAGATCGTAAGTGCAGTGCGGAAAAACGTGAATGAAACGCAGGTTTCCCACACCGTGTTCTGATGTGAACTGGCCCTTAGACTTATAAACTTATAATCAATGTATCTCATTACATTGACAACTCGATGCATATTTCATACCACTTATTTACCTATATTGACTTGATTCTTGTGACAATTCTGTCATCTTGTGATAATACTTGTTCCTATCTTGTTTTAATTGCTCTGGCAGCCCATGCATAGTTGTTAATTTTATGTGTATTTGCACCAGCTGTTTTATTGAGGTCAATAGCAGAAGCTAAAATTTGCACACAACTGATTATATTCAGTTACACAAAGGTATAAAAAATCATTTTGGGAAGCACAGTGGCTAAATGGTTAGCACTTCTGCCTGGCAGTACTAGGGTCGTTGGTTCAAATCCCAACCACGTCACCACCTACCTGGAGTTTACATGTTCTCCCTGTGCCTGCGTGGGTTTCCTCCGGGTACTCCAGTTTCCCTCCATACTCCAAAGACATGCTGGTAGGTTAGTTGGACCCTGCTTAAATTGGCCCTAGTATGTGTATGTATGAATGTAGGTTAGGGACCTTAGACTGTAAGCTTTTTGAGGGTTAACCCTTTGAGGACCAAGGACGTATTTGTCCCATGTTTGTAATTGCATGTATCATCTGATTAAGAACTTAAAACTCTTTTTTTTTTTTTTTTTTGGTTTGAGTCAAAATGTTAGTTCTTATCAACAAACAACAAATGGATCTAGCTTTTTCCCAATTATTTCATGAAATGGCTTAGTTACAGCAACTGAAGTGTACGAACGTTAAAAACAAAAAAATTGTTTCTTTTGGCGTTCCAAAACCTTACGGTCCTCAAAGGGTTAAGGACAGATGTGAATGCACAAAAAAATATATATATATAGCGCTATAAAAGTACCTGAAATAAGTAATAATTTTATTTTCTCTTTAAAATGCTTTGTGAGTGCAGTTTTACAGACAATGCTAGATTTGTCTGAAAAGATAAAATGTGCATATTAATTTCTGTATATCAGACCATGAACATCTTGTAATCAAAAGATTGCCGTCAATCACAATCTCATCCATATTACATTGGAAAACTTCCTGAAAGGTGTAAGCAATGTGGAAATCTGGTTATTGTGCTGCTGCTGCTTTTTCATTGTCAGATTTCAAGATGGAAGCTGGGGCAGATCTTGTACCAGTCTATATTGCTCACCTACAGTATAGTCTGGAGAGAGATCCCAGGGAAGGCATACAGGCTATTTGTTTTTCTACAATGGCCATCTTCATATTTGTATGATAAACCTGCAGAGTTCATCTGCTGACATTGCTTTGGGCATCCTCTATAAATCACATTGCTGTTTCCATTGGTAAAATTACATTTCTTGTTACAGAGCAAAGGGCCTGATATATTTCAGCGGAGTATACTTGGCCATATTCTTCCTGAAGCTATGGTGTGCTATCTGGAAAATTACGAGTCTGAGAAATTTTCAGAAATATTTCTTGGAGAATTTGATACTCCAGAGGCTATATGGAGCAGTGAGATGAGGTGTGCAAAATTTCACTACGAAAAGTGTATTTCTTGTTTTTTTTTTCTGCATGTAATAATCATGGGAATGTTACTTGATCATGTATAGTACAGTATATGTACACTTTAATTTTAATTCAAAGCTCTTTAACGTCAGTGAAACTCCTCAGTTATTTAATTCTCCATGGTTCACTTATTTATGCCTCTACATGTTGACTATTTTCAGACGTCTCATGATTGAGAAAATTGCTGCCCATTTAGCTGACTTCAGCCCTCGCCTTCAGAGTAACACAAGAGCACTTTATCAGTATTGCCCTATTCCAGTGATCAACTACCCTCAACTGGAGAATGAATTGTTCTGCAACATATACTACCTGAAACATTTCTGTGACACTCTCAGGTTTCCTAATTGGCCCATCAAAGATCCTGTAAGTCATGTCTACTTAATCTATTTAAGTTATGTGTGTTCTTATACTCTATTTTGTATTGTTTTTTGGTATTGACATTGACACGAATAACAAGAATTTTATTAAATGTTTTTTTGCACAGGTAAAACTGCTAAAAGACACCTTAGACTCATGGAAAAAAGAAGTAGAGAAAAAACCTCCAACCATGTCAATCGAGGATGCTTATGAGGTTCTCGGTCTTCCAAAAGGGCAAGGACAGTAAGTTACAGATGTCGAATCTGTGTTTTATTGCAAAACATGAAGGTGTTGTGGGTTCGCAGGTCTGGTACTACCGGTAGTAAAAAAAAAAAAAAATCATCATGGTGCTAATTTAGGAAGTCTCTGTTCACATTTTAAAGCTAAACTTCATGCAAAACTTTTTTAGTTATGTATAGAGTAGAGAATAATTAGAGCATCTTTCAGGTCTTTTTTGCATTCTGTGTCCCTACTGGGGAGTTTTACCCAGACCTCTCTCAAATCTCTCCAACAGTAGCAAAGACATTATCTTTAGTAGCCTAAATAGGGGATTCATATACTGACAATGCATTTGTCACCCATGTCTACCTTCCCATTTCTTGTATGGGCTTCTCAGAGACCGAAAATTTGTAAAAATCCTCCCAATGGACAAAAACTAAATATCAGCAATTTTTGTTGTTGAATCAAGGTCCTGCCATTGGTTTGGCATACATTTGACATTGACAGAATCAACTCTTAATCATTCACTTTGTTCTTTTATCAAGTATTCCAAACATTGGCAACTTTAGATGGTGTCTTATGAAGGAGAATTGTAGGTCAGTGTGTGAATATATTGTAGATATTACACCTTAAAAAAGCATAACAAATGTATCAAATCAGTGAAGTAATATTTAAATGTCTCAGCTGCTTTAACATGTTCTTACATCGTAAAATGAACAACACATTTAACAGAACAAATAATGCTTATATACATGGTAATACTTTTTTTGTTTTTTTTCTAGGCAAGATGAGAGTAAAATCAGGAAAGCATACTTTAGACTCGCGCAGAAATATCATCCAGACAAGAATCCTGAAGGAAGGGTTTGTATTTATTTTGCATCTGCATTTTGTATAAAACACCTATACTGCTAACCTTTCTTAACTACTTCAGTTCTTTTATCTGTATCTCCCTTATCGATCATGGCAATTTTTACATTTCAGCTATAGTTCAATTAATTGAGCTATAACTTTGTGATTACTTTTGATACTGAAATAATTAAAGTATCATTTTTTTTTTGAGTCCAAAAAATTAATAGTATATTTAAAGACAAAATAAGCCTTTAACCCAATGGTATGTGCTTCCTGCCAGAATTTCCAAAATAGCCCCAAACTACCTGCTGCATTGCTTTGGTGGGCACGCACCTTCACATTTGGTGGCAATGCCCCATTGTACAACAGTTTTGGGCAGAAATATTCCTAATTATCTCCAGGCTGTTCTTAGCCTGGATTACTCCTGAACCACTTATAGTTCACCTCAACACGTGCCCATCAGACCTGGCTTCCATGCAGTTTACATTTTTGATACAGATAATTACTGCAGCCAAACAAACAATAGTGAAGGCCTGGAATTCTTCTTCTCTTAACATAGTAGAGACCAAGAACAGAATAACTCAGGCAATGATCCATGCTAAAATTGAAGCCACCCTATTGGACAAAGTCTGGAATATGAAATATTGTGGTGGTCCTAGGTAATGCATTTCTTACCTCCGAACTTTGATGAGTCTCTGCTACTCTCCTAAAAGTTTGATCCTGCTATCATTGCCACTGTGCAAGCAAAGATCATCAACATACAATTCCATGGGACCCCCTCCCATCCTTCTTTCTTCTCTTTGTCTCTCCTTGCCCCCTTCCCCTGGTCCTTGTTCTCATTTCCACCTTCCCACTTGCAGTCTTGGACTCTATTCAATAGTCTAGTCTCTCATTGTGTTTTGTTCGTATTCAGATGGTCGTTTTAGCAATATTAAGCGCTTTCCTTGATGTTGTTACTTATGCAGATCAGGAATTTGATCTATTTTTACCTTCCTGTTGATTATAATGTACCTGGGTCTACTATGATTTCATTGTGTACTTGTATAATGCCTTGAAATGTGTTTCCTACATTTTTCTTTGTGTATGTTACATATTTTCAGACTTATTCCAATAGGGTGCATCCTTCAGACTAATGTGGGGATGGACCTTCTGGCTTGTTATCAGTGCTCAGTTCAACATCCTGAATCTCTGATGGTATGGGGGTGCATTGGTAGGTATAGAATAGGCAGCTTGCACATCTGGAAGGACACCATCAGTGCTAAAAGATATGTCCTGGTTTTAGAGCAGCAAATGCTCTCATCCAGATGATGTCTTTTTCATGGAAGGCCTTGCATATTTCAGCAGGACAATACAAAACCGCATACTGCATCTATGACAGCACCATGTCTTTGTAGTAGAAGAGTTCAGCTTCTTAACTGGCCTGTCTGGAATCCTGACTTGTCACCAACTGAAAATATTTGGTGCATCTTAAAACAAAAAATATGAAAAAGATCACCCAGGACTGTTGAGCATATATTAGGCAAGAATGGGACAACATTTCTTTCCCAAAACTCCAGCAGCTGGTCTCCTCCGTTCCCAGATATTTACATAGTGTTGTTAAAGAAGCGGGGATGCTACACCATGGTAAACATGGCCCTGTCACAACTTGCCATCAATTTACAATCATTGCACTGTTTTTTACAGCATTCCAGGTTTCTTTTTTTTTTGGGGGGGGGGGGGGTGTATTTATATATACAGTATGTATTTGTGTGTATGTATATGTATATACACACACACTGTGCGGGTATATATACTATATGCATGTTAGAGATCTAATCTAGATACATTGTAACAAGAACATTCTTATAGCACATTTATTGCAATGCTTCATTCTTACAGGAATAAAAAACACAGCAAGAAGAGTGTTGCTGATTAAATCAAAAGCTGTATTTTAGCTCCACTTAGGCTTTAAGGATAGTTTTAACATTTAAACAGTATTAGGTTGCCAGATTGTATGCACCTTATTTTTAATTCTTGGATAATTTTCCTGAAGCGTTACTAAGCCCTCTTATCCCTCTACAACCGAGGACGCTGCCACTTTAGCCTTTGTGTGATCTGCAGTTGTGAGGATGCTGCACCTGTGATCAGTTATGACACCAGGCATTTGATGGATTGACCGTTCCATTGAGAGTGTTGTTAGACTCCTTTCACATGGGTGGACCAATCAGGTCTGTCTGTCCATTTTTTAGGCAGACCTGATCAGATCATCCATTGCGCTCTATGGAGCTGCAGATGTAAACGGATGTGTGTTCGTTTACACCTACCTACATTCGTTTAGTTCTGCTTTAAGGCAATCCGAGACATGAGATTACAGCTGCAAGAGATATTGACCTCAGTTGTAGGAGTTGCTGTTGGACAGAAGATTAATTGAGCAGGTTAGAATTCTTGCCATGCTTGCTATATATTTTCAGACATAAAAATGTGTTTTGTCAACATAGAATTGAATTAAAAAAATGTAAAAAAAATAAATAAATTCTTGGCAAAGATTTTTAATGGTTTAACTGTGCACTTCCTCAAAAAACAACTAATTGATTTTCATTAATTGACTACCTTTTAAAAATATTTTGTTTTGCAGGATGTGTTTAAAAGTATATTGGGTTTTTTCACTTTATTTTTTTGCAGGACATGTTTGAAAAAGTTAATAAAGCTTATGAGTTCCTGTGTACAAAGTCAACCAAAATCGTAGATGGACCAGACCCAGAAAATATAATTTTAATTCTTAAAACTCAGAGCATACTTTTCAACAGGCATAAGGAAGGTAAAATGCTACATCTAATTTACAAGAAATATAGATGCCAAAAGTGTATGCATGTATGTATGTGTGTGTGTATATTTTATTTTCATTCAGTATCATGGTATTGGGAAGTACAGTGGTTTAATTTTTACAGGTAACTACACTATTGAAAATCCCTTACAGGCTTTGCAAAGAAAATGATCAGTGTTGAGCTTGGCAACAAATTGATCTTTTATTTTTAAATCTACAATAAACAATGTTTTTATATCTATTTATTTGTGCTAGGTGAAGATCATTGATTCTTTGTCCCAGAGAGCACATGGGGCCTAGACCTCCCTCTTGAACGATATTAAAGTGACCGTGTCACAAGAGGATTATGGAGGCTGTCAATGATAAATGCTGTTATGTGATTTGGCTTTGATGTTGTCTGGCCTGGATTAAGTACAAAAAGTATCTGATGATTTTTCTGATACTCATTTAAAGAGTATGTAATCCCAACATTTCATATTCCTGATATGTGCACACTGTTCCAGTGTACTTTTATGAAAAAGTGTCCTGTTCTTTTTGGATTGCTTCCTTTGGTGCTGCACATGTGATCAGTTATAACACCAGTCATTTGATGATTTGACAGTTTAGTTGTGATCACAAGCAACTGTGACAGTTATCATTCACTGCATGCCTTGAACGTGTTTTGGGAAATAGTTAACTCAGTGGGTTTGGTGCCGCTTTCTGTGCACTCTCTGTCCTTAATGGCCATGGAGGCAGCAGTGGGAACCATTGGCTTCTGCAGCTGTCAATCACACCCTGTGAGAAGAGAGCAGGGGTTGGGGTCGAGCCTCACTGTGTGTGCCAATGGGGACACAGAGCGCAGTTTGGGATCAAGCCTACACAAGTTCTCCCATAGCAAGGGGCTTGCTATGGGGCACTTAGAAAGGGGGGGGAAGGGCCAGGAGTGCCAGCTGGGGACCCAGGAAGAGGAGGATCAGAGCTGCTCTGTGCAAAACTGTTGCACAGTGCAGGTAAGTAAAACATGTTTGTAATTTAATTTAAAAAAAAAACCCTTAACAATCACTTTAAGTCAGACACAGCCAGCTAACTAGTGTTTTCGTCATGAAAAAGCCGCTTTAAGCTCTGCCCTTCCTGGCATTTAGGCTAGAGCTTAGGCTTGGCACCCAGGGCTTGATTTTAACTTGGAGAAAAGTGCAGACTCTGCTTACAGCTTGTATCTGCGGTCCAGGTTCCTTCCTGGCTCAGAGAAACTCATTTGAAGATAGAGCCAGCCACTTGCATGCAACACTAGGTTCTTACACTTCAGTAGTAATGTGTTTTTACATAGTGATGGATATTGGGTTTACATGAAGTATCCTTTGGCTGGATAAAACCACAGACAATCCATATGGAGTCTAAAAATGTGTGCTGTGTTGCCAAAACAAGTTCATTTAGGAGCCTTGAGTCTTGTATATTCAAGGAAGCTGCTATCTTACACTCTGTTTAATCTTCAGTTGCCTTGGTGCTGCACATGTGATTAGTTATGTCACCAGCTAATTGATGGCTTCATAATTCACTTGCGTGTGCAAGCAATGCATTGCTATCATTCATGGCAAGTCTGGAATGTAACTGTTTTGGGAAAAACTGTTAAATTGATAGGGTTACTTCCACTCTAGGCTGATCTGAAAAAATCCTCTTGCATATCAGTAGTAATTGTAGTTTTTTTTTTTTTTTTTTTTTTTTTTTTTAGGTCTTTTATGTTATGCATACTGTAAAAAATTGTGACTATTGAACAATTTGTAAAAAGTGTACTTTTTACTTTCTTTAGACCTTCAGCCTTACAAATATGCTGGCTATCCCATGCTCATTAAAACGATCACCATGGAGACTTCTGATGACCTACTCTTCTCTAAGCTATCTCTGTTGCCTGCTGCCACTGAGCTTGCATTTCACACAGTCAACTGCTCAGCCCTTAATGCAGAAGAACTCAGGAGGGAAAATGGCATAGAGGTACAATATTATTATAAGTCTGTAAACTGCAGAAATTAACCCCCTCTGCCCTGCTATGTTGTAGAAAAATGGTGAGGAGGTGAATGTGTATTTCTGGAGTGCCAATTTTTTTTTTTTTACTTGTATAACATGTTATACTTGCTCGCTCTGTGCATTGGTTTTCACAGAGCAGCTCTGATCCTTCTTTTCTGGGGTCCTCCGAGAATGCATAAAGGTAAAAAGCCTTGAGCCTTTACAACCACTTTAAAGTTCCCCTGACCACCAGTGATCATGGATTTTGTTTTGGGAGGAAGGGGGTGTGGGGGTAAAGTGCCACTAACCATCAATGACAGCGGGATTGTTTAAATTACATTAGGTTTGAGGGATTTAAATTACTCTGACCAGCAATGATTGTGTGGTTGTTTTTAAACATAAAGAGATGGAAAAAAAACCCAAACAAATTTAGGATCTTCTTTCCTTTTATATTATAACCCCACTGGGTAATGAATACCTTTAAAAACTGTCAGTTATGTTGCCACAACAATGAAAAATTGTCTTATGAAAATGTCCTATATTTTTTTTTTTTTTTTTTTAGATTTTTTTTTAGTTTAGAATTTTACACCTCATACTGCTAAATCACTGATTCTTTACCAAATAAAGAAATAGACCGTTGATTAAAATGGCAACTGCTCAGATTGTAACAAGTGTGTTGCTGGTATTTGCTGAAATTAATACCATTAAGAAGAATCAAAACTGCTTTTAATCATAAACTGCATTTGAATATTGCTTTAGGTACTACAAGAGGCTTTTTCACGCTGTGTTTCAGTGTTAACTGGATCAAGTAAAGCAGATGACATGCCTGTGCAGGTAACAGAAAATTGATATTGAGCTTCTACATTGTAGTGTTATAGTTTCATATGAATGTGTTCTTTTTGGCCTCCCTAAGGTTTTGCCTCATAAGTAGCCTGGAGACTGCCAATAGCCAATATTGGTTGCTTTAAATTATTGCTCATAATGCTGTTCATAATGTACACTCACCAGCCACTTTATTAGGTACACCCGTTCAATTGCTTGGTAACACAGATTGCAATCAGCGAATCACATGGCAGCAGCTCGATGTATTTAGCCATGTAGACGTGGTGAAGACGACTTGCAGAAGTTCAAACCAAGCATCAGAATGGGGAAGAAATGCGGTTTAAGTGACTTTGAATGCGGCATGGTTGTTGGTGCTAGACGGGCTGGTCTGAATATTTCATAAACTGTGGCTCTACTGGGATTTTCACGCACAGCCATCTCTAGGGTTTACAGAGAATGGTTCAAAAAAGAGAAAATATCCAGTGAGCAGCAGATGTGTTGACGAAAATGCCTTGTTGAGGTCAGAGGAGACTGGGCAGACTGGTTGCTGCAACCTTCAGATGATAGGGTCAGAATTTGGCGTAAACATGAGAGCATGGATCCATCATGCCTTGTATCATTAGTTCAGGCTGGTTGTGTACTGGTGTGAGGGATATTTTCTTGGCACTAGCAAGGTGTGCCTAATAAAGTGGTCAGTGACTGTATATGGCCCTTATGTCTTATAAATATATGTCTTATCTTCAACAACTTTTCAAATATTACTATTCCAGGACCTTCAGTCCTAATAAGCTTCATAATATGTATCAAAATTATTTTTAACCGCTTAGTAACCACGCTATAGCTGAATGATGGCTACAGTGTTACCCAGTTCTGGGAGGGTGTCGTATGATGTCCTCCCAGAACGCATCCCCAGCGGCGCACATCCGGCATTCTCCGTGATCGCTGTTTCCTACGGACACAGCTGACCACAAGATAAGGTAAAAGGCCAATCACAGCGGCTTTTTACCACGTGATCAGCTGTGTTCAATGACGCAACAGATCATGGAGTACATACAGTTTCCGGTTATTGGTAGCACTTTCCTCACATTTTCACAGCGTGAGGAAAGTACTGCCGATAACCGGCAGCTGTCACTGAGCAGATCGGCACTGATCATCAGTGCCTCCCATCAGTGCTGCCAGTCAGTATCGCCCATCAGTGCTGCCAGTCAGTATCGCTCATCAGTGCTGCCAGTCAGTATCGCTCATCAGTGCTGCCAGTCAGTATCGCCATCAGTGCTGCCAGTCAGTATCGCCCATCAGTGCTGCCAGTCAGTATCGCCCATCAGTGCTGCCAGTCAGTATCGCCCATCAGTGCTGCCAGTCAGTATCGCCCATCAGTGCTGCCAGTCAGTATCGCCCGTCAGTGCTGCCAGTCAGTATCGCTCGTCAGTGTTCGCCTGTCAGTGCCGCCTATCAGTGATCATCATTGCTGCATATCAGTGCAGCATCATATGTGCCTCCTCATCAGTGTCCATCCGTGCAGCACCATCCACATCAGTGAAGGAGAAAAATTACCTGTTTGCAAAATTTTATAATGGAAACAAAGGAAAAAAATTTTTTTTTTTTGTTTATAGTGCAAAAAATGAAAAACCTAGTGGCAATTAAATACCACCAAAGAAATCTCTGTTTGTGTGAAAAAATGATAAACTTTCATATGGGTACAATGTTGCATGACTGCACAATTGTCATTCAAAGTGCGACAGCGCTGAAAGCTGAAAATTGGATTTAGCACGAAGGGGGTATAAGTGCCCGGTAGACAAGTGGTTAAATGTTAATATACTATATGAGGAAAGTTATTTTGCTTGTTTCTTTGACTCTTTAAATACCTATTCATTGTCAGGTGTGTGGACATATATGCAAGTGCTACAGTGTTGCTGCTCAGTTTGAAGAATGCAGAGAGAAGATTATAGAGATGCCAAATATCATTAAAGACCTCTGCAGAGTTTTGTACTATGGCAAGGTAAGGCTGTGTTATCCTATTAAACATGCAGCCCAGGCTTTATAAGCCTTCGGTGTTACTCAAATCTTTCCTATTTCTAAACCGACTGAAACATGGCTATGTAAAGATGTAAATCCTGTATAATAATAATAATATCTAGATTAAGCTGAGTAGTAATAGATATTGCTATAATTTTGTATTCACACTTTTTAACTGTATCAGTGTTTAAGTAGTAATAAACTAGGGATTAGCAACCAATTGATGCTAGTATGCCAAGAAATGTTTGGCCTCAGGTTCCACCCCTTTCATAGACATTCACCACAATTAACAATCTGACAGTCAGATTTTGTTTTTGTTTTTTGTTTTTTTACAGTGTAATCAGATTGTAGGCTAGTTTTACAAACTTGGTTTCAGGTTGTTTTTGTTGTCTAGGTCTTGCTGGGGATATTTTAACTTACTCCCTGTCTTGGAGATGCAACAGGACATAAGAGGAAATTTTCCCACCATTTGTGGAATTGCCATATTATGACAGTTTCTCCAGAATATTTGCCCCGATTGGAAGATTTTTGCTGTCATGACAACATTGAAATTTAGCCTTTGCTTTTCGTCTTGTTGATGTTGATCACCAGGACAAATACATGGGTGAACCTCCGCAGCGGGGTGGACTCCTTGCAGTCTTCCTTTCTCCACTGTATCTGAATCTTTGCTTTTACAAACACTTTATCAGGTAATTCCATTTTTGCATCCAGAAATGAGAATGTTATCTCTCAAAACCCTCCAGAATCCTCCGGTCCCTGCTGCAGTTGTTTGCTATTTAGTAAATTTCACAGTCACCAGTGTGTCTGCTTATTTATGGATTTGTACAGTTTTTACCCTGCACAAAGCCCTGGAGGCTGTGTATCAGAGCAATCATGGCAATGGCAAGCTGCATTTAGTCATCGTGGTCATGTGAAAAACACTGCTTTCTTTTGGGACAGTAGAGCGAAGTGATTCACTCTCAATAAGCCCTCACCATTGCAAGCATTGTTCTGTTATACAGTCTCCGGGGCTGTGTACGGATAAGTAAATTGGCAGACATAGGCATGGTGAACTTGATAAATAGCAAATGAGTGCAGTAGGGATTGGAGGAGAGTGAAGCGTGTTGAGAGACAACATTTTTACTTTTTAATGCAAAAGTAGAATTAGACTAAATTGGCTTCCAAACAATAATAAATTATGGGTATTTTTCTTGCTACTTTTAGTTTTGTCATTTTCATAGAATCTATTTCTGCCACTGACATACAAAGTATAGTGCATTTTTTGAAAAATGTGAGATTAATATCACTGCAATATGCCTTTTAATCACCATAAAATATATTTGATTTTGTTTCCAGAGGGTCCAAAGATTAGCTGCACAGGCAGTGGAATGCGTTAGTTCCTTTGCTGTGGATTATTTTCTTCAGACACACTTGTTCCATGCAGGGATTTTGTGGCATTTACTTATTTATCCTTTCAACTATGACTTTACCTTGGAGGAGAGTGGAATTCAGAAGAATGAGGACACTAATCAACAGGTACTACCATATAATGTGACCTGTTGAGAGAATGAGTTAAATAATTGTGTTTTCAGAAGGTCTCTGATTGGTGCATTATTTCTGTGTGCATAACAGGAAGTTGCCAATGGTCTTGCCAAGCTCAGTCTTCATGCAGTTAGCCGATTAGGTGGTTATTTACCTGGAGAGTTGACAACACCAGAAAACCCTACAATACAGAAAAGCTTGGCTGGGATGCTCACCCCTTATATAGCTCGGAAGCTATCTGTGTCTTCTCCTGCAGAGGTACTATATAGTACATGTCTATGGACGCATCTGTTGTCTAATAATCATGGTTGTTATATGTTTTATGTTATACATGAGTATTATAGGTCACCTTTTCCATTATTTTCTACAAGCCCGGCTTTAGTATTTGTATTAACTGTGGTTATGTTTATAGTATGTCTCTGATTAGCCTAATACTAAACTTTGATAGTACCAGGTGTGTGTGTTCCTTTGTGACACTGTTCCTGAAAATTATAGGTAATTCTTTTGCTTTTTGCCATAGATGCCTGAGTCATAAATACAAATTTTCTAAACTTAAAACTTTGTTATTGATGTATTACAAATAAATATTTAAAGTGATTGTAAAGGTTACTATTTTTTTCAAACAAACATTTTATATGCAGTCCTCAGATTTCGAACAGAATAGGTTCTGTAGGTTTTTCCTTAAGTTGAATTTGTATGTAAGCTGGAACAGGTACAATTTTTAAGTGTAGCTCCAGCCAATAAATTGTTACATTTTGGATAGCTTAGGGAAGGGTTAATTGGCCATGCAGTGATGTGGGATTGCAGACAGCTGTGCTGGACAAGAGGTGGCAGCATGGGGTGAGCAGCAAGATGGCTGCTTGGCAGTTTCTGGGATTAGTGTGACATCATGCTGCCTCCGTTCTTGAGTTGTATGTAAGTCAGATGTTTGTAACTCAGGAAGTGCCTGTAGATTTACTTGCTCCGTGCTGTGGTTTTTCATGGAGTGGCCCCGAATTTCCTTCTGGGGTCCCCTGCTGGCACTCTTGGCCCCTCCTCATCTTTGGGTGCCCCCATTGTAAGCTGGGCTGTGTGCCCCCTCTCTCTCCTCACAGGCTTTGACTGACAGCAGCAGGAGCCAGTGGCTCCCACTGTTGCCAGGTCTCCATTGAGAGGAGAGAGGGAGGAATGCTGCATCTAAATCGGTCTTAGGCAAGTGTTGGGGGAAGGGGGGGGGGGGGGGGAGATTTTGAAAGGTATTTTTTTTTAACCCCAATGAAGAGAATACATTAGGGTAAAAACCTTTTACCGTAATATCCACTTTAACGGAAGGGATGGATGTTTATGGCAGAGCCCATCACATCACCTTGAAAGTATGCAAGTTTATTTATTTTTGTTTTCATTGCAGATCCTAAAAATGCTGAACAGCAACACAGAAAGCCCCTACCTGATATGGAACAATGGCACAAGAGCAGAGCTGCTGGAGTTTCTTGAAGCTGAACAAGAAAGCATGACAAGAAGGGTAACACACATGTACACACAAAACAAAAGACCATTTTCCACATAATATTTGTTGCCATGCAAATAGTAGTAAAACCTCTCAGGAATATGAAGTCTATAGTATAGGGTTATATGTTAGCAATAGATCTTTTAAAAATGTCCCCGAACTCTTGAATAAGCAGCATCTTCTTGCTGAGAAACTGAGTAAATTCTTGGAAAAGGGAAGGACTTCTCTGTTATACGTTGTTAGAATCAGCTGGGTTAATTGTCTTAAAAGATAAGTTCACCTTTCATAACATGTTATACCGATAGGGTGTAACATATTACGAATGGACCAGCCCCTGCACCCCCCTAATCCCTGTTGCAACAACTAGCAGAGGATTTTCTCCCCCTGCTAGCTGTCACAATTTTAAAAAAACGTAGCCGTGCAGGACTCCACCCACCGCCCTTGTCACTCATTCACAGTATTCTGTGAATGAGAACACTTCAAGTTCTGACAGCTTTTGCAGCTGTCAGCTTGTAGTTCTCAATGGATTACTATGGCGTTGTATAGTGCTGTGGTAGTTCCTTGAGTCTTCCTTTCAGTAAGTATCTGCTTGCCCGTACAGTATGTACGAGCACACAGATACATTAACAGGTCAGCAGGTGTCTTGCATAGCACCAGCTATCGCTGGTACAATGCTTTAGAGGCTCCAGAAACAAAAAAACAATAAAGGCACATTTTTTACCTGCAAAAAAATGTGCATTTGTAATTTTTTTTTTTTTTTTTTTGAATGAACTTCTACTTTAAATGCAAAAGTCAAGCGATCATGGCAAATCTAGATTTAAAGAATGTTTTTTCATGGCCTGTATTGGGGATGAGGTTGAACGTCCTTTTGAGCACCTAAATCGCTGGTTTATTTCCCACCTATAGCACATGTATACAGATGGACAGGATGCTGGTGACATCAGTGCCCTTAAATATGCCTGTATTTAGCCAGTAACATTGACTAAGTAAGGGCATGTATCCATATAAGGGCACCGATGTCACCAGCATCTTGCCGCTTTGTTTACGTGTACTGCTGGGCAAGGAATGTCATGGCCCACAGCTGAATGGAGCCAGTAGAAAAATAAACATGATTTAGATGTTCTGATAGAGGTGAGTTTGGAGGACACCAAAACTCATCTCCAGCCTGTATCATCTTTTATATTTTGTCTTACTAGTTACAGGTCCATGACTTTAATTGTGGATTTCCTTAAAGCTGGCCATACCCTATACAATCTGATTGAACTATTTCTGTATAATCTCTTTTGGATTGATCAAAACTTTATAATATGGAGACAGATCTAATCAATACTTTCAGTTTCTATCCAATCAGGCAGGCTCTCATACCACTTACCATACCAGGCTGATGGCAGATCTGATGGAGATTGTATAGTGTATGGTCACGTTGGTCTTTCAAGTTTAATACATCATTCAGTTTGTCTATCTGGCTTCCTGTCTAGCTACTTTATATTAACACCTTATTTACATTATACATTTTCTTTGCTGAGTATCTATTTGACCTTTTTTAGGGGGAATGTGATAAAAGCTATGGAGCCGACTTTGTTTTCAGTGATCATGCCAAGGAGCTCATTGTTGGAGAGATTTTTGTACGGGTATATAATGAACAACCGACATTCCAACTGGAGGTGAGTGCTTTCCAAACAAAACTGACTGTCGACCTGAGATGGTCAGTAAAGAATATCTAGTATCAGTTTGCTTACTGAGGCCACGTAATGACATACAGGGAAACGTTACACAATATTCTGGGTAGTGCCGAAAAAACTTTACATTTGAGAATTATTTGTACAAAACATACTGTAGATCGCTTCCATTTTCTTAAAGACCCATTAACAAATTATCATTGTCCTTTTCTACTCCTGTTTGGTACTAGTGAATACATCTCTTACTACACTAGAGCCCTAAGTACAAGTTGGGAGACTCTCAGCAATACGTAAATTGTTTTCTCCAGGAGATATGGAATCTGGTTAATATAGCAACTTTCAGGCATTCCTGCCCTTTATATTTAGCAACCTGCACCATGTAGTAGAAATGGAGGTATAAATACTCCTGTCATAAATAGAATTAGATCTACAGTTGTGTTCAAAATAATAGCAGTCAGACATCACTAACCTGATCAATCACTGTTTTTGGTAGAAATTATATTTCTACATGGCAAATAATTTGCTAGCAGGTGTAGTAGAGTAATAGAAATCCAACAGACCCAACAGTCATGACATGCATGCTGCTGATTCTGTGTAATTGAATCACTAAATGAAAGGGGCATGTTCAAAATAATAGCAGTGTGGAGTTCTACTAGTGAGGTCGTTCATTCTTTGAAAAACAGGTGGCAATTATTGCCCTTATTTAAGGAAGGAAGGCAGCAAATGTTGTACATGCTGGTTACAGTGCATCTCTCTCTGAAATTCTGAGGAAAATGGGTCGTTCCAGACATTGTTCAGGAGAACAGTGTACCTTGATTAAAAAGTTGATTGGAGAGGGGAAAACATATAAAGAAGTGCAGAAAATGATAGGCTGCTCAGCTAAAATGATTGCAAATGCTTTAAAATGGCAACCAAAACCTGAAAGACGTGGAAAAAAGTGAAAAACTACCATTCGAATGGATAGAAGAATAGCCAAAATGGCAAGGACTCAGCCAACAATCAGCTCCAGGAAGATCAAAGAAGGTCTAAAGTTACCTGTGAGTACTGTTACAATTAGAAGACGCCTATGTGAAGCCAAGCTATCTGCAAGAAGCCCCCGCAAAGTCCTACTGTTGAAAAAAAGACGTGCTGAAGAGGTTACAATTTGCCAAAGAGCACATTGACTGGCCTAAAGAGAAATGGCGCAACATTTTGTGGACTGATGGAAGTAAGATTGTTCTTTTTGGGTCTAGTGGCCAGAGACAGTTTGTCAGACGACCCCCAAACACTGAATTCAAGCCACAGTACACTGTGAAGACAGTGAAGCATGGTTACGCAAGCATCATGATATGGGGATGTTTCTCATACTACGGTGTTGGGCCTATTTATCGCATACCAGGGATCATGGATCAGTTTGAATACATCAGAATACTTGAAGAGGTCATGCTGCCTTATGCTGAAGAGGAAATGCCCTTGAAATGGGTGTTCCAACAAGACAACGACCCCAAACACACCAGTAAACGTGCAACATCTTGGTTCCAGACCAACAAGATTGACGTTATGGAGTGGCCAGCCCAATCCCCGGATCTTAATCCAATAGAAAACTTGTGGGGTGACATCAAAAATGCCGTTTCTGAGGCAAAACCAAGATATAGAGAAGAACTCTGGAATGTAATCCTAGGCTGGAATACCTGTTCACAGGTGCCAGAAGTTGGTTGACTCCATGCAACACAGATGTACAGCAGTTCTCAGAAACAGTGCTTATACAACTAAATATTCATTAAGTGATTCAAAGGAAAGCAAAATTTTCAAACATTTTTCAGTTTATATAGTGAATGTTTGAGTTTGTAAAGAAGAATACAAACACTGCTATTTTCTTGAACAATCTAATATTCACTTTTCTTCAATTTTTTTTTTAGAGGAACACAAATTTGATATATTTTTCTTCATGTTTTGATTTGGAATAGAATGTGTAGTGTTCCCAATGCATTTGTGTGTATGGAAATAAAAGCTATTAGAAGGATTTTGAGCTTTAATCACTTTTTTCAAAACACTGCTATTATTTTGAACACAACTGTATATATGTGTTGTATATATGAAGCTAACATGCATTTGCTGTGTATACAGGTCCCAAAAGCTTTTGCAGCAAGTCTGCTGGATTACATTGGATCTCAAGCACAGTACCTTCATACGCTAATGGCTATAACCCAGACTGGCAAGGTGGAGTCTGATCAGCACGTAGACAGACTGCAGAGGGTTGAAATGGCTTTGGAAGCACTAAGGAATGTCATCAAACACAACCCTGGTAGGAAGGTTGAGGGGCTTTTTTTTTGTCATTTTTTGATTTACAGAATGAGGCTACTCTGTATTGATTTTTAAGATAAATTCTTCTAGTTATTGCTCTAGGAAGCAATGTGTCCTGAACTATAATGGTGAGATTGCTGTGCGGTCTCAAGTGTTAATTAACATGACCACACCTGTTGTGTTCTTGTAATGGATGTCTGCTTCTTCAGTGATAACGAACTAAACCAGATCTCACAGCATCTTATTGCACAATGTGGCAGTTCTAAAAATGGGGAAAAACCATGCTGATTTGTTTGTTTTGGTGAAGTTGAAATCAGGTCATACTTTCAAAACTGACAATGCAACCACAGTGCAGACACATTTTATTGACTACAGGGACTAAATTGGGGTCCCAGTCTACTTGTCCCTCATGATAATATACTTGTTCTGATAAAAAAAAAAAATAGTTTTAACAAAAACCGTATTTAAATCTGAGGTGCTTTAAGAATTTCTGGGGCTTTTAAAAATGAAAGGACCTTTATAGTGACTTAAACTTTTGATGTTTTTAACATTGTCCTGTTTATCTCCTACTCACCTCCCTGCTTGTCTCCAGCACCGCAGTGCAGTGCATCTAGAAAGTATTCACAGCACACTTAACTTTTGCCATATTTTGTTATGTTACAGCCTTATTCCAAGATGGACCAAATTCATTTTTTTTCCTCACCATTCTACAAACAATACCCCATAATGGCAACATGAAATAAGTTTGTTTTGAAATCTTTGCAATTTATTAAAAATAAAAAACCACATGTACATAAGTATTCACTGCCTTTGCCATGACACTCAAAATTGAGCTCTGTATCCTGTTCCCACTGATCATCGTTGAGATGTTTCCAGACCTTGATTGTCCACCTGTGGGAAATTCAGTTGATTGGACATGATTAGGAAAGGCATAAACCTGTTTATATAAGGTCCCACAGTTAACAGTGCATGCCAGAGCACAAACCAAGCCATGAGGTCCAAGCAATTGTCCCTAGACCTCTGAGGCAGGATTGCATCAAGGCACAGATCTGGGGAAGGGTACAGAAAAATTTCTGCAGCATTGAAGGTCCCAGTGAGCACAGTGGCCTCCATCATCCGTAAATGGAAGAAGTTTGGAACCAGGAATCTTCCTAAAGTGGGTCGCCCGGCCAAAGGGAGAAGGGCCTCGGCCAGGGAGGTAACCAAGCACCCGATGGTCTGCAGCACTCTAACAATCAGGCCTGTATGGTAGAGTGGCCAGATCGGAAGCCACTCCTCAGTAAAAAGCAAATGGCAGCCCGCCTGGAGTTTGCCAAAAGGCACCTGAGGGACTCTCAGACCATGAGAAACAAAACTCTGTGGTCAGATGAAACAAAGATTGAACTCTTTGGCCTGAATGCCAAGTGTCATGTCTGGAGGAAACCAGGCACTGCTTGCCAGCTGGCCAATACTATCCCTACAGTGAAGCATGGTGGTGGCAGCATCATGCTGTGAGGATGTTTTTCAGTGGCAGGAACTGGGAGACTAGTCAGGATGGAAGGAAAGATGAATGCAGCAATGTACAGACAGCCTTGATGAAAACCTGTTCCAGAGCGCTCTGGACCTTAGACTGGGGCAACGGTTCATCTTTCAACAGGACAACAACCCAAAGCACACAGCCCCCATAACAAAGGAGTGGCTACGGGCCAACTTTGTAAATGTCTTGGAGTGGCCCAGCCAGAGCCCAGACTTGAATCCAATTAAACATCTCTGGAGAGATCTGAAAATGGCTGTGCACCGACACTCCCCATCCAACCTTGAGAGGTACTGCAAAGAAGAGTGGGAGAAACTGCCCAAAAATAGGTGTGCCAAGCTTCATGATCAAAACAACCTGAGGCTGTAATTGGTGCTAAAGGTGCTTCAACAAAGTGTTGAGCAAAGGCGGTGAATACTTATGTACATGTGAGGTTTTTTTTCGTTTATGTGTATTCAATTGTAAAAATTTCAAAACTAACTTCTTTCACGCTGTCTTTATGGTGTATTGTTCGTAGAATGTTGAGGAAAAAAATATTAATCCTTTTTGGAATAAGGCTGTAACATAAAATGTGGCAAAAGTTAAGCGCTGTGAATACTTTCTAGGTGCACTGTAAGGGTATCTGCTGAGCAAGTAAATAAGGGTCCAGCCCCTTTCTGGAAAAAAAAAAAAATGTATTCCTTCAGGTTACCCTCGCACATGGAAGCACTAGGTTGCTCAGTACTAGCACCTGCTGTGCAATCAAATTAAGCTTTGGTGTCCGCTCCTTTGTGCCCCGTTCACACCCGGGAGTTTTGGGATTGAGGCACAATCTCTGCAATTCTGCCCGCAATCTCAAACCGCACTCCAATCGCAAAACACGGTTTTAGGTGTCATTATTTTTAATGGTACCTAAAACGCGGTGAGGTTTTGCTGTGATTGTTGCGTGATTTACTTGCAGCAATCACGGCAAATCACATTGCATGAAGCTTGTTGCCAAAAAAAGGAACAGGAGCTACTTTTTGGCGACAAGCTTCATGCAATGCAATTTTCCACAATTGCCGTGCAATTAACTGTACAGCAATTCACATCCTGTGAAGCTTTTCGCTCAAAGAAGGAGCAGTAGCTTCTTTTTTGGGTGACAAACTTCACCCAGTGTGATTTTGCTGCACCACAATTGTGGCAAAATTGCACTGCGGTTTAGGTGCCATTGAAAATAGCACTTGAACCTGAGTTTTGTGATCGCGTGCACAATTGCAGCGATTCTGCTGCAATCACAAAATGCTCAGGCGTGAATGCAGGCACCCTAGTTCATACATATGTGATTCTGGATGCATTTTCAAACTCACAGAATCCCATGACAGGCTAGATAATGTGTCCTTATTAAGGTGGTTCAAATAGATGCGATGCCATTACAAAAAGTGTGTGAGTTTGCAGCAGTGCATTCCAGACTCGCAAGTGACAGAGTAGAGTGGCATGTGGAGATAAGTGTTCACATAGGATTGCTATTGGCAGAAGTTTTTGCATTGAAGTCAGTGGGAGGCATTTTTGCATTGAAGTCAGTGGGAGGCATTTTTGCATTGAAGTCAGTGGGAGGCGTTTTTGCATTGGAGTCAATGGGAGGCGTTTTTGCATTGGAGTCAATGGGAGGCGTTTTTACATTGGAGTCAATGGGAGGCGTTTTTACATTGGAGTCAATGGGAGGCGTTTTTACATTGGAGTCAATGGGAGGCGTTTTTACATTGGAGTCAATGGGAGGCGTTTTTGCATTGGAGTCAATGGGAGGCGTTTTTGCATTGGAGTCAATGGGAGGCGTTTTTGCATTGGAGTCAATGGGAGGCGTTTTTGCATTGGAGTCAATGGGAGGCGTTTTTGAATTGGAGTCAATGGGAGGCGTTTTTGAATTGGAGTCAATGGGAGGCGTTTGTGCATTGGAGTCAATGGGGGGCGTTTTTGCATTGGAGTCAATGGGAGACGTTTTAGCACTTGGAGAGAGAGATCCTATCTGTACTAAAATTACACAGGAACAGGAATGACATTGGGATTTCAGTACACATATATTTCAAACTCACAGAATCCCATGACAGGCTAGATAATGTGTCCCTATTAAGGTGGTTCAAATAGATGCGATGCCATTACAAAAAGTGTGAGTTTGCAGCAGTGCATTCCAGACTCGCAAGTGACAGAGTAGAGTGGCATGTGGAGATAAGTGTTCACATAGGATTGCTATTGGCAGAAGTTTTTGCATTGAAGTCAGTGGGAGGCGTTTTTGCATTGAAGTCAGTGGGAGGCGTTTTTGCATTGGAGTCAATGGGAGGCGTTTTTACATTGGAGTCAATGGGAGGCGTTTTTGCATTGGAGTCAATGGGAGGCGTTTTTGCATTGGAGTCAATGGGAGGCGTTTTTGCATTGGAGTCAATGGGAGGCGTTTTTGCATTGGAGTCAATGGGAGGCGTTTGTGCATTGGAGTCAATGGGGGGCGTTTTTGCATTGGAGTCAATGGGAGACGTTTTAGCACTTGGAGAGAGAGATCCTATCTGTACTAAAATTAAACAGGAACAGGAATGACATTGGGATTTCAGTACACATATATTTGAGAACCGAAGCTAAAGAGGATGCATGCCCACAGCAGGGCTAAAAAAAATAACGCCACCTGTCTGGTTTCTGTAACTGCATGTCCTGGGCATTGGGAGATATAAATCGTGCATCCCTGCGAGTCTTGTCTGCCACCTTGTAGTTCATTGACACTTCTTCCAGCTTTCTAACAGCTTGTACAGAGGTACTTTGCAAGAAACCTTGAGGACATGTTTGCAAGAGCCTGACATTGCACAATCCCCTGATCATGGGTGCTAGTCTTTGCTGGGGGAAAAATAATAAATGCACATTTTTTTTTCTGCAAAATATGTGCACTTATTTTTCCCCAAAGGTGAAACTTATCCTTTAACTAGTTTATAATTTTTACTACAGATTCTTTCTTTTTTCAGTGCTTTTTTAAATTGTATTTGTGTGTGCATTCTGTTGTGCTTCTTATAGGAACAGAGGGCATACAAATTATTTAGATATTCATTGTGCACAGCAAACTATGACTGCAAAAATATGCATAGAACATTATTGTACTTTTGCCTACATAGGTTCGTGGATGACTTTATGAATAGCCTATATGGAAGAATGTTTGCGTTTGCTTGCCTATGTTGGCATGCAATCCATTCATAACATTTTGGTTTTCTCTGATTTTTTTTTTTTTTTTTTTTTTTTATCAGACTTATTGTTTTTTTCAGGATCAGAAACTGAATGTATTGGCCATTTCAAGTTGATATTTTCTTTACTGAGAGTCCATGGAGCTGGGAAGGTTCAGCAGCTTGCACTGGAGGTAAACGAATATTATTTAAAGTAAACCTGTTGTGAAAGTCCAGTATATCTCCTGGATTCAGCTAGACGTAAAGCTGAAGTTTAGTGAAATTGAAAAATAAAAAGCTATTAGGGATTGTACTTAACATCAATGAATATTGCCCCATGTGTGACAAGAACTTGTTAAATGCAGAGTATACCTGCTATTTTTGTGCTTCATTCGTAGAAGCCATACTATGAAAAACCCTTTAAGATCGGAAGGACAGGCAGATGAATGAAATGTCTGCCTACTACCATCATCCTGAATTGTTTTAATTGTGGGAACTAATAGTACAGCTTCTTTGACTGGAGAACAGGCTGGAAAGATCGGATGTAGTTGGCACGTGACGAGTGCCTGTCACAGGTGTAGCCACTCATATTAACCTCCAAAGCACAGAAAGATCACTGCTTCAGGGGTATCCAGAGGCAGAGGACTTTGGATTTCAACCAAACACGGCAGCCACCAGCACATAGGTCACTCTTTGTTGATGGTAAATACAATCTTTGGTGCAGTTTAAAAAAATAAATTTAAGGCAAGAGTCTGCACATAATCTGCTTCATTGTCAAAGATATATATTGTGCAGATCTTGACTTGTAGGAGTTAGGATCTCTATAAAGTGCAAGAGATTTAGATACGCTAAGATTAGGATATCAGGCTTTAAAGTGTATCTAAACCGCAGAACAATTTTAATATACTGCAGATTACAAGTTTTTAGATTTGGCGTCTGCATTTGTTTTTTTTTATCCTTTATTTCTACCTGCCAGTATTACACTTCCTGTCCTTCGATGACAGAGCTTCTTTGCACAGTATTTATGAAAGAGCAGGATTGTTGCCCTAGGCGGCTCTCTGCTGATTTAAACCAAGTAGCATTATCTGCCATTTCAGAGTTCTCACCTGTGAAATATATAAAACCTCCCCCCTTTATTATGGGAATTAAAAAAGTGGTGGGAATTAAAAGTGGTGGGTACCTCTTCTATTCTCCATAGTATAAAGGTGAAGTGATCTCTAGTTCACAGCATTCCAGCAGGGCAGATAATTCAGCTTGGAATTTTTGGTGCAGCAAAGGTAGAGCGTGCACAGGATATTAGGTGTGCAATCGATTTCTTTCAGGATCGGCAAGTATTTATTTATTTTTTTTGCACTTACAGAGATAAAACATGGGAAAATGTGCTTATATTGGGATGATGTACTGAACATGTATTTTTTTTTCCTGCCGTACACAGTAACCTAAATCTGTCTTGATAAATGTTTTGGGGCTGCAAAAACTAGCTTCCTTCTGTAAATGCTAGTTGCCTATCTTACCCACTGACTTTGATAAATTCTGATTCTGGACCTTTAACAAGCATGCATATTAGGGAATTCAGAAGGCCTTTTCTGCACTTGGAGTACTGAAGCAATAGGACCAGCATGACAGCCAGACTCAGACTGTGATAGAGCGATAAAAGACCGCTGATCACTCCGTGTTTGTTGAGTAGAGCGTTGGTCAGCTCTCTGCTAGGCCCCTTCAGTGCTCACTGGAGCTCCAGGCTGTGGAGAGTGCAGGAGCAGCTGACTCAAGCTCTCAACGGCTCACTGAGAGGCAGCGCCAGTTGCTGGTCCAGTTATCTGGGTGGATACCAACTTTAATGTTGGAATATTTCCAAAGCCTGGTTTGGCTGAGTGACATCCGCTGACTGCGGGCTTTAGTCCACTGTTGGTTGAAAAATGGGTCACAGGAGTGACCCAAACTGCACTACTGTGATCTCCAGAAGTACAGGAAAATAGCTTTGGCTATACTTCTCATTTAATGAAAGAGCTGCTGGTACAACCAGTAAATAGAATATGTAAGCATGCCCTAAGGTTTTGTTACATCTGCTGCTTGTGAATTTTGGGTACACTTTATTTTTTTTTTCTTCACTTTCCATTGAGCTACTTTATGGTGATTTATAAACTGTGCAAATGAACTCTGATTTTTATCAGCAAAAATTTTTAATAAAGTCTTTTGTTTGTGACAGGTGGTCAACATAGTCACCAGTAATCAAGAATGTGTAAATAACATTGCAGAAGCTTTGGTACTATCCAGTTTGTTATCACTGTTGCATTCATTACCAACAAGTAAGTACTGCTGCAACATCTGTAGAATTTAAAAGACTGGCAGACTTCAAACTAAAAATATGGAAAGGGATTCTGCATCTATAAATATGCCACTTTTCGTTTTTAAGTGCTTTCACTTGGAAAGATTCACCAGATCAGACAACCTTTGCTAACATTAAGCAACATTTCTTATTTTTACTACTCACTTATTTTGTAACTTGGTTCTGGTCACATTTACTACACATTTGCTGAAAACTTTTTACTTTGATTTTCTACTTCAGATTGAAAAATGTGCACATTTCACATCACAATGTTTCTTCTTGGAGCCCCATTGTTCAGGAGTTCATGGAGTAAATCCTGCATTAATTTTAATATTTCCTTTAAATATATATGTTGAAGGGTGCCTTCTGTTCTGATATGCAGGGGATCTGTGAGCTGATTCCCTGCTGAGCAGAGTGGGCGGATGACAGGTCTATGTCCGCACAGTTTGACAGATCCCCTCTTAGCTCTGTGGGAGGTTGGGAGTATACAGACTCTGCTGTCAGTTTACATCTGGCTGCTTCCAAGTCAATCCACCCAAATGGAGCAGGATGTAGTCGTCCTCCATTTATTTATTTATTTTTTTTTAGTGGGCCAAATCAGCCCAGAGGTAGGCAGTGTAATTGGACACAAGTCTGTTTAACCGTGCCAATCTATAGGAATGCATGGACCTTTCAATCGGTTCCACCTGGAAAACTAACAAGTGGACATGATTGGATCGCCCATGTGAAAAACCTTCGGATGCTGGAGACTTGGAGTGAGGCAGTTTAGACATCACTGGGTACATTGCTAAATGTAAAATATTCATTTTTATGCAGGTCATGGTATATGTAGTATTGGTCAAATTATGTATAGCTAGACTTGTTGAAGACATTTCACAGCTTATGCAAGCCCATTATTCATTTGTAATGAGCTTTTGCATACCCCAGGATTTAGAGCCACACTGGTAAGGCAAGCCATAGATATAATATACTATATTATATTACATGATATTATATTATACTATTTTCCATCTTCCCACCACAGGTGGAAGGAAAGAAAATTACTTGATTTACCCATCAACACAGCCAGTTTTGATGGGGGAATCTTTCACAGCGCTGATGTTCTCTGCTGGAGGGGAGCCTTCCCTGCTGACAGAACACAATGATCAGTGCTAGAGGCTATAGCCTCCAGCAGTGATGGTATGCAAAAACTCCCAACAGGCTGGTTGTACGGAATTCGATTGATGGATTGACTTCAGTACAACCAGCCTGCCCATAAATGGATCTAATTTTGTCCGGCCCTACTCAACCGGCCAGGTTTCGGACCATATCTGTGCCTGGCTTAAATCACCTTGGGATGTGTCCATAAGTTGCAAAACATCTTCAGCATTACAGAACAAGTTAAATTGAAACAATCCTCTACTTCTAGATACATTCATTTTATTATGCTGTATGTAGGGATTCCTATTTTGAGAAAATACTTTCAAATCCGTGCTGAAGGGCATGCATGCTGATCTCCGCTTATAAAAACAAAACAAAACAAAAAAAACAGAGACATATGCAGAAAGAAAATATAGAGGAGATTTACCAAAACAGAATTTGGTACAACTGTGCATAGTAGTCAGCTTCTAACTTCAGCTTGTTCAATTAAGCTTTGACAATAAAACCTGGAAGCTGATTGGTTACTATACACAGCTGCTTCATATTCCTTGTGCACCAGTTTTAGTAAATCTCTCCAAAGAAATCAACATTCCAAGTGCTGATTTTATGTTAAAAACGTAGGATTCGTTTTAGGCCTCACGCACATGGGCATAAAAAAATGCTGCTCTTACAGGTGTGCAGCATATTTTTTATGCCTCTAGGCACAGTTGTAGGTTAGCCTATGTGGCCATGCACATAGGCACTTTTCAGCCAACGGTGGACTAAAGCTCGCAGTCAGCTGATGTCACTAAGCCCGCAATCAGCTGATGTCAGTATTTCAAATGCAGCTATTAGAGGCATAAAAACATGCTCCGAAGCTGCATTCAGAGAGGCACTTTTGAGTATGATTTAGGCATGTATTCAGTCTTTGCAGATGACACCAAGCTTTGCAGTGGAATAACGTCCTTAAAGGATGTCTCCAACTTACAAGCCGACCTCAATGCACTGTTCAATTGGGCAACTATGTGGCAAATGAGGTTTAATATTGATAAATGTAAGGTTATGCCCTTGGGGGCTAAAAATATGCATGCATCATACATACTAGGAGGGGTACAACTGGGGGAATCAATGGTGGAGAAGGATCTTGGGGTTCTGGTAGATCACAAGCTTAATAATGACATGCAATGCCAAGCTGCAGTTTCTAAAGTGAGCAAAATCCTCTCTTGTATTAACACTTGCCTACCGGGCACTTATACCCCCCTTCCTTCCCAGGCCAATTTTCAGCTTTCAGCACTGTTGCACTTTGAATGAAAGTTGCACGGTCATGCAACACTGTACTCATATAAATTTTTTATCTTTTTTTCACACAAATAGAGCTTTCTTTTGGTGGTATTTACTCACCACTGGGTATTTTATTTTTTTGAAAAAATATATAAGTGAACAGCGCAAACATAGACCTCTACATCAAATCAATATACAAAGTGCAAACATATATAAAAAATTAAATAAATAGTGAAGTCCATCGAAATTAAAAACATAAAATTCAAAAATAGTTTGTGCAAACAGAAATTTTCAAATTCTTCTTCTATAATAAAGAAACTTCCACCTTCCACCCGTGAAAACCAACATCAAATGCACTCACCAGATTAAGGTGAATGAAACGCCTTTTAGGAATTTATGGGATCCTAAACCCTCTTTGGTATCCACTCTATAGGAATCCTCACCTCCAGCATAGACTCCACCATCAACTCCACCATCCAACCAGGGAGAAAAAAACTCAGATAGTGTAATATTGCAAAACACCATTCATAAGTGAAATCAAGGATTAAGGCCACTCACATTATAATCACTTTAAAAAGGCATATTTATTAAGACCAGCTTCTTTCCAGATGAACAGTAGATGTAAGGCAACCTCTCACAGAATCTCACATCACAGCTCCAGAAACCTGGAGCTGTGATGTGAGATTCTGTGAGAGGTTGCCTTACATCTACTGTTCATCTGGAAAGAAGCTGGTCTTAATAAATATGCCTTTTTTAAAGTGATTATAATGTGAGTGGCCTTAATCCTTGATTTCACTTATGAATGGTGTTTTGCAATATTACACTATCTGAGTTTTTTTCTCCCTGGTTGGATGGTGGAGTTGATGGTGGAGTCTATGCTGGAGGTGAGGATTCCTATAGAGTGGATACCAAAGAGGGTTTAGGATCCCATAAATTCCTAAAAGGCGTTTCATTCACCTTAATCTGGTGAGTGCATTTGATGTTGGTTTTCACGGGTGGAAGGTGGAAGTTTCTTTATTATAGAAGAAGAATTTGAAAATTTCTGTTTGCACAAACTATTTTTGAATTTTATGTTTATTAATTTCGATTGCCTTCACTATTTATTTAATTTTTTATATATGTTTGCACTTTGTATATTGATTTGATGTAGAGGTCTATGTTTGCGCTGTTCACTTATATATTTTTTACTATTTGTGTTGATCACATTGCACAGCAGCAGGATAGAACCTATAGTAGGGTGTTTCACTAGGCGCAGGAAGAATTTTTTAATTTTATTTTTTTGCACTATAAACAAAAAAAGAGCAAAAATTTGAAAAAATATTTTTTTTTCTTTTTCTATTATAAAATTTTGCAAACAGGTAATTTTTCTCCACTGATGTGCATTGATGAGGCAGCACTGATTAGCACGGATAGGCGGCACTGTTAATGCTGCACTGCTGGGCAGCACTGACTGACGCCACTGCTGGGCAGCACTGACTGACGCCACTGCTGGGCAGCACTGACTGACGCCACTGCTGGGCAGCACTGACTGACGCCACTGCTGGGCAGCACTGACGGGCACTGATGATCAGTGCCAGTCTGTTTTCTGAATATTGCCTGTTATCGGCAGTACTTTCCTCATGCTGTGACAGCGCGAGAAAAGTGCAGCTGATAACCGTCAACTGCATTTACCGGTGATCTACTGTGTCATTGTGTCATTGATCACATGGTAAAAGGCAGCTGTGATTGGCCTTTTGCCACATGACATGATCAGCTGTGTCTATAGGACACAGCGATCACGGAGATCGCCGGGTGCATGCCGTGGAGGGCACAATCTGAGAGGACGTCATGTGACGCCCTCCCAGAACTGGGCACGCAGTTGCCAAGTGGTTAAAAGAGGTATAGACTCCAGAGAGAGAGATATGATATTACCCCTGTACAAATCATTAGTAACACCTCATCTGGAATATGCAGTTCAGTTTTGGGCACCATTTCACAAAAAGAACATCGGGGAACTGGAGAAAGTACAGAGAAGGGAAACCAAACTTATAAGAGGCATGGATGAGCTTAGCTATGAGGAAAGATTAGAGGAACTGAATTTATTCTCTCTTGAGAAGAAGAGATTAAGGGGGGATATGATCAACATGTATAAATACATCAGTGGTTCATATCGTGAACTTGGTGTAGAGCTGTTCACCCTGAGGTCATCACAGAGGACAAGGGGGCACTCTTTACATCTGGAGGCAAAGAGATTTAATCTCCAAATACGGAAAAGTTTCTTCACAGTAAGAGCTGTGAAAATGTGGAATAGACTCCCTCAAGAGTTGGTTCTGGCCAGCTCAGTGGATTGCTTTAAGAAAGGCCTGGATTCTTTCTTAGATACAAAGAATATAACTGGATACTAACATTTATAGGTAAAGGTGATCCAGGGAATGTCCGTTTGCCTCTCGGGGGATCAGGAAGGAACTTTTTCCCCTGCGGGAGCAAATTGGATCACGCGTTGCTGGGATTTTTTTTGTCTTCCTCTGGATCAATTGTGGGTATAGGATTATAACTTTTTTTTTTTTTTTTTTTTTTTTTTTTTTTTTTTTTTGTTGAACTGAATGGACTTTTGTCTTTTTTTAGCCAGACTAACCATGTAACTGGGCATGTAAATGTATTCCAATAGCCAGAATGAATTAATATTCTGGCCAGTAGAATGCATCTATGCTAAACACCGTATGTCCATAAATGTGCATGCATACACAAATCTAGCATATTTGGAGCGTAAATTCATATGCCCATGTGCATGAGGCCTTTTAAAGTGTCACCCTTTAACTGGAGCATTGAGAAAAAATTGCCCTACTGCAGCTGTGACATTTACAAGGTAAAGTATTCTCGCACATTGCATTCACTAAAATCTGTGTACATTGAGTGAAAATGGGTATCTAATGGTAGACTAGGACAGAGCAACTGACTGTATTGATGTTTTATTTTTAGGTCGACAGCTTGTTCTTGCAACTCTGTATGCCTTAACATCTAGTACAAAAATCATAAAAGAGGCTATGGCCAAAGGTATGTCATGGGATACTTTATGCATAGCTGTCAGAAGTGCATGGTACCCAGATTTTGAAGATTTGTTCCTGAAAATGTTCCTTTTTGAAAGAGTACCATAAAAAAAATTTATTTTGCCACACTATACTCAAAACATTGATAGATATATAAAGATGTTATTTGCATTTTAAGTAAGAAAATTAGAAATAAAACGAATTTATATTTTTAAGTAGTCATAGTATGTCATAATTAAAAGTTGTTTTTTTTTTTTTCTAAATTTATTATCTTTTGGTTTGTTCTTTCCATTTGTACAAACATTTTTTTAGATGGGCTGGTCAGTACTATCATGTCAAAGTAATTTTTTTTTTGTAAACAAAGCAACATATTTCACCCATAGAAAGTTTGAATCATTAAAATGTATTGTTCTTTTATATTGTTTGTTAAACAGTCTAACTGACATGTTGTATACCCTGCCTATAAGAGATGGTATACAAAGTTACTCTCATTTATGAGCTTTATCCCAGCATGAGGCACCATCTTTTCAGTTTTAGTTAAGTGTCTGTACGAGATAGGTGCTAGAGACCTTTTTTTTTTAAGCTTCCAGGGACCCAAACTTTTAATGGCAATTACTAGTACCGTTTTGGAGTGATTGTCTATATGAACTTTAGTGATCTACAGCACCACCAAGTTGAACAATACAGAATTTTCTGGAAATTTTCAGTCTGTTATGCCATTTAAGAAATCTGTGGTCATTTGTATACTGTTCTCTTTCATGGTTTTACAAGGAGCCCTGGTCTCATTAAAAAAAACTGCATTGTGAATAGGCACCATTCGAATGCCCAATGAACTCCTGAAATAATGCACAGTAGAGAATTATCTAAAATATAAATTTGAAAAGTGCTTGCTTTTATTTGAAGTACCTTGATAAAATGTTTGTTTCAACAGGAGCCTTAATCTACTTGTTGGACATGTTTTGCAATTCAACTCACCCACAAGTACGAACGCAGACAGCAGAGTTGTTTGCCAAAATGACAACTGATAAACTTGTTGGTCCTAAGGTGAGTAATCACATAACTCTGTATAAAAGCAGGAATTCTCAGTTCAGTAATATGACTAGAAAATATGGATGGTCTTGGACAATGCTATATTTGAATACATACAAAGATGGGCCATCTTCTTAAATACATGCCGTAAAAGTAGTCAGAGTTGTAACCCTTAATGCTGTGCATTTGTGACGCAACGCTAGCAAACATTTACTTTGCAATTGACATCTGCTTCTATGTTGACATCACTGTTGCATCACTTTGACTTGTGCATAAAAGTCTTGAACGCACACACACAAACTGATTTGGTGTCACTGACATCCCCAGTGACACCAATACAGTGATCAGTGTTAATAAAAAGCACTGACACTGTACTAATGGCACTGGGCAGGAAGGGGTTAACATGTGGAGCGATCAAAGGGTTAACTGTGGAATGTGTGTGTTTCACTGTAAGCACATTGCTTTGTATGGCTACAAAACAGTGTGCAGGAGCCATCAGTAATACTCAGCGATCTATGTATTTTTATTTTTATTATACAGGATTTATATAGCGCCAACAGTTTGCTCAGCACTTTACAATATAACGGGAGACAATACAGCAACAATACAGTTCATTAAAAGAGGGTTAGGAGGGTCCTGCTCCTTGGAGCTTACAATCTAAGAGCATGTATGTATGTATATATGTACGTGATTTTGCGCACCTGCGCAGAAGCGGTTAAATTTTGTTTTTTGCTAAAAATGAAAATCAAACTGTAAATAAGCAACTGACACTATAATCACGGAAATTGGCTTCACACCCATGCTGAACTGCAGTGCTGTGTGTCCACTGTGTTGGTGTGCATTGCAACACAGACCAGCACATGTTGTGTGCACCTGCTGGAGTGAAGGGGCCCTTAGTGTTTTGGTGCAGCAACCCACAAAATGTACATTACTGCAATGCCTGTAGTGCACATGTGTACTTTGTGTGTTTTAATTTGTGTGTGGGCATTTAACTAGTTCCCGCAGGCAAATATTCAGCGGCAGAGTGGGTGTGCTAAAGGCCAGGCCACCATACATATGCTTACAGTAAGTGGGGAATTGACTTCTGTGCTTAGTGCTGCTACACCCAGCAAAGTGATCAAGTGATGCTGGGCAGTGGTGGCAAGGTTAAAATCTATGCCCTGTTGCAACAAGCACATTGATGCGTGTTTTTATATGCTTTAGGGCAGCCCGACACACACAAGTTGCACCAAAAAAGGCGAATGGGAAACATGAATGGCCACTTATGTTTACTATCTCAGCATTTATGAATAAACACTGAGTGATGAACACTGATCACCCTAGTGTTCATTCAGGACAGAAAAGGATTGGTATGACATTCATATTTACCGATCCTCCTCTACACGTTCCTGAACACGTGTTCCTTCTCTGAGGCCACTGGCAGTCATCTCCTCTGCACAGGCTGTTGTATCTCCTGCTACAGGCTGGGGGTAGTGCATTGGAGGTGCAGAGGGCACAGGGGAAATAACTGGCTGTGCGGGAGATGCAGAAGACAGGTATTTGTCGATACCAGCCTGTCACTGGAATCTCCATGATGGACACTAGCTGCTTCTCTACCGCATAGCCCCCAGTCTCCCTTGTGACAGTCATCAGCTTGTCAGTTGCTGCTCACAGCTATTCATTCAATCAGGAGGACCATTCTGGTAGAGATTCATGACCTTTTGACAGAGTGGGGAATGCAGCCAAGGTAAGGCATACTGACCTCGCCAGCTGGAAGCAATTCTGTTGCACCTTATACCTTCGTTTGGTAGCAGCAGAAGGGTTAAAGTAAGAATTGTTATTTAATCACTGAATATAGCAATTATAGTATACAGATTTGTTAAAGTGTTAAATCCTCTTGTCTGCTTTTGTAGGTCAGAATCGCTTTGATTAAGTTTTTACCTGGAGTATTTATGGATGCTATGAGGGATAACCCTGAAGCTGCTGTACATATATTTGAAGGAACCCATGAAAACCCAGAACTAATTTGGAATGATAATTCTAGAGAAAAAGTATCAACCACAGTTCGAGAAATGATGCTGGAGTAAGTGGGAAGTAGAGAAATGCTGGTTGGATGTGTTTATACGATCCACATGATGCATATACAGTATGCATTATTATACACTGCATATACTAGAGGTCACTTATAGGAATTTTCTTTTAAAGAAAAATTCTAGTCTACAGGGAGACATTCCTATCATTTCTAATAACAAAGTGTTTACATCATTGACCTCAGTTTGTTAAAATGGCTGTAACTGTGTAAATCAACTATTCTAGATCAGACAGAATGATTTGTCTGCCCTGCCTTGCTTTAACATCAATGTGGGTCAGTGGATCTATGCTCTGTCTTTTCGTGTCTCTTATTAACTTCTGTGATATGCTGCTTGGGTGGAATAATGATTTATTTCTAGCTTGCTCGTCCTGAGTACACTTCAGCTAACTACTGTAGTTTCCTGCTGTAATTTTCGTTTAACCACAGGCTTATGTTTATTTTTATATTCTGTCATATTGTCAACTAGAATAGCGTTTAGAAAAATCCCACTACCTTGTGGCCTCCATTAGTTGGTACTAGGCTAATACCTCTGTATGAATACTATTACATCTCCTACATATAGGGGTTGATTTACTAAAGGCATATATACTGTGCACTGTAAAGCTTCCCTTTACAAAGAATACCCAATCACATGCAAGGAAAAAAAAAAAAAAAAAAAAAAAAAGCATTTCATAGATTCCCCTCAGATCTAGGGCAACTGCACTTGCAGTGGACTTGCGGTTGCACTTTAAGGCTACGTTCACACTAGCCTTGTGTGCAGGCAGCAGAGAGGCGTTTGGTAAGCGTTTTTACCGCTTCCCAAACGCCTCTGCCAATTCTGAACATTACAGCACATGGTATTATAACCTTTTTGAAAACAAATTCAAATAAATAAATGAATATAATAAAATCCAAACACTTCGATATAATAATAAAATTCAAATTGAAAAATAAATAAATAAATAAAAAATAAATAAAAAAGTCCAATACAAAGTGTCCCAAAAAGTCCCAAAAGACTCACATAGAAGGCATGTTGGAAGCCGGAATTTGGCAATTTTAATGTAAGTTCTTATTAAATTGTTTTATTACATCTTGAACATGAGTCTTGAGACCCTTCTTGTCTTTTGAGGACCTTGGAATATTTTTGGAGCTTTTAGAAGATCTCATATGGATACAGAGGGTAATAGTATCTAATATTGGTGCTGGTGGATACACAGTATTGCAGTGTTCACTGAGTGGTCACCGTTTTATTCACATGTGCACGGAAGAGATATACACATATATAGTGTTTGCACATTTTTGCGTTTGCACGGAGAGAATATATTATGTACTAAAAACTATGCACTAGATTTCTAAAATTTGTTTTTCTCGAGGTATTACGGGATGAAAAAAGAATTTCTTATGACTGGATGAATTTAATTTGGAAATTTGGACAATTTTTGGACACTAATTCTGTTGGACACTAATTTTTGTTTATATTGGGACTTTTTGGGACACTTTGTATTGGACTTTTTTATTTATTTTTTTATTTATTTATTTATTTTTCAATTTGAATTTTATTATTATATCGAAGTGTTTGGATTTTATTATATTCATTTATTTATTTGAATTTGTTTTCAAAAAGGTTATAATACTGTGTTGCTTTCTGGGGAGAAAGCGTGACTTTTTTGAGGGGTTTTGGGGTTAGGTGATACACATATTTAATATTACAGCACATGGTGCTGTTTTAACAGGAGCGTTTGCGTCGCGTTGCGTCGCAGCAAAACGGACGCCTCTGGACGAGTCAGGAGGCTTTGAAGCCTCCTATTCTCGTCTATGGTGCCGCTCCAAAACGCCCGGCCGGCGTTTGCGGTGCGGTTGCGACGCGGTTGCGGGGCGTTTGCGGAGCGGTAACACCACTCAAACTGCATTATAGGCGTTTGTGGGGCGTTATTAACGCTCGGCAAACACCTAGCAACCTCCGCTAAACCGCGTTTGTGGAGCGTTTGCCGAGCGTTAATAACGCTCCGCAAACGCCGGACCAACGCTTGCCAAACACTATAGGGGCGTTTGGCAAGCGTTGGCAAAACAGCCTAGTGTGAACGAGCCCTAAGTGTACAGTATTTTTGCCTTTAGTAAATTAACCCAAAAGTCCTACATGCATTATACAATAAAGTACTATAGACTTGAAAGGTGTTTCCTTGTCCATTTAACAGGTAGTGTGTCTTGTGTTTTCACTTCCACATCTACATAAGCAGATACAGAAGTTTTTTGCATTTTTTATGCGATTGTATTCAGTTTTGCTTTGTATGGCCTGGTAATACCAAGATACTATTTAGCAGTGTTCTCCTTTACGTTTTTTCACTGTTTAGGGAGTTACTGATCCAAAACAGGTTTGCAGACTAGAAGCTTCAGAAAGTATGATTTTTAACTCCAAAACTGCTTCATTCCATTACAGCTACATCTCCTACACATCAACTCTTTAGCTGAAGTGCTAAATAAAATGCATGACTTTAAAATGTTAACACTGTTCTATAGCAGACGTGTGGAATATGTTTTCTTCAGCCTTGGTACAGCATTCTAGTTTCAGCTTTTATCTAGTTCCAGAACTATCTACAGAAGAGAAAAGTTGGTATCAGGTCCTAAATGTAGCTCTAAGCTACAGAATACTATAAAATGTAGTCAGCATCATCAGCAAGTCATAGGATTTTCTCTTTGACAGTGATGTTGGATAGATTATCTTTTTGAAACTCTTGAATGGCTTCATTTAAATTATTAAATACAAATTGCTTGATTTTCCCCTCATTCTAGGCACTTTAAGCATCAAATAGAGAATCCTGATGCAAACTGGAAGGTGAGTAGTTTTCAGCTGGATTCAAGGTCTCCTAATGCTGGAAAATGTTACAATGCAACTGTTCATTTTATTTCACTTCAGTATTTTTGTTTACTTGAAGAATAGTCACTACCAGGCGCGGACTGACCATTTAGCCACTCGGGCACTGCCCGAGGGCCCAGGGTCAGTAGGGGACCCCATGAGATGCCCCTGGTACCTTTCATTGGCTTTTTCATAGGCTTTTTTGGGTGTGGGCAAGGACACGGGGGCCCCATAATCCCCTATTGCCCAGGGGCCCCATGAGTTGTCAGTCCGCTCCTGGTCCCTACATATGTAAAGTTACACTTTAAAGGAATAGAAGTTTTTTTAAATTGTAGTTTACACTTAGACTATATTATGTGTCTGCATTTTTTTTAATTCACACAAACCATTATTACTCTGAAGGTTAAACAGAATGTGGAATAGATAAAAAAATACTTTTGCTGTCGTTCATACCAGCTCCTATGTCTTAAATACTGTGTACAAGCCATCAAGGGCACAACAGTGGGGCTGCCACAGAACAGTATTGATTTCAGACTTGGCAGTTTTCAGATGCCATGCTAATAATACTAACTAGAGGAGAGTAATCCGCAAAAGTGAAAAACTACCTATAGGGATCCAATCAGGTGTCATGATCTAGTCTCTGGGATAATGAATTGAGGAATCAGATTGATATGGGCAAGTTCTAAGCATGTTTGGGGAATATTCTGCTCCCCAGTTTTTATGAATATCTAATTTAGGCATCCTATAAATGAGTCAGGTTTCTTAGTTTACCCAGGGGGTTAAAAAAAAAATTGACTCAATGTGGATGGGAGAATCCTTCCCGTTGAGCTATTGTATTTGCCAGTGGGAACACTTCCCCACCATGAAAATACACTGATCAGCCTTGCAAACTATAGCTTGCAGTGCTGATCGAGCGGGGAAAAATCCAACAGGACAGTTGTACAGAAGTTAAATGGTAGATTGTCTTGTGTACAACCTCCCTACGACCTACATGGGTCAAAATTTGGTCAGTCCCTGCCAAACAGGCTGAATTTAGATCCATGTATAGCCAGCTTTAGGTGTACATTTATTAAACTGATATAAGTTTCAGTAGTGACTATTGCAGATTATCTCCACTGTACATCAGTGTAATGAGCTGTGATGAGGCATGGAGATGATGTTTTCTTTCCTCATCACAGCTCAGTGTGAAGTAAATGCAAACAGCCAATTTAAGAAGATGCAATGTAAGCATCTGACTGGCCATTTGCTTAAAGCGGAAATCCGAGATGCAGAACAAATCGAACAATCTGTACAGTGACCTATGTAAAACTATAAATATTTAGTAGTAGATCGTTTATAAACCTCAACCTTTAGTAGAAAAATAGATTGAAATTTCTGTAACGTCATCTCTCCAGTTCAAAAAATAGCAGCTTCAGCTGGCTTTGGGAGGAAATACAAATCCATGCATGCGCATCATATTTTTTGCTTTCCCACATTGCACCTGATAAACTACAGTTCCCATCATGCATTTAGAATTGTAGTCAATAGACATGATTTAGGCTGTGAAGTTGGGTGGATACAATTACTTGTAATTACTGCACTGAATGAGCCCGTTCAGCCACCTGTGAACCTCTGGCTGTGGCCCTCTACTTTCTGCTAAATCTCCGTGGAGAGCTGTGACAGACCAGGGGACTCCTGGCTTGTCAGTCATTGTGTGAGGAAATAAGAGGCAGGACAGGCTGGGAGCCTCCTGGTATGTTAATCAAATGATGCTGTACCAGTGGGCGGTTCAGACCAGGAGTCTCTGACTCCCGAGTCCGCCCACTACAGTGTGCAGTGACGATGTCACACAGCTTACCTGAAAGGAACTATAGCGGGGCAGAGACAAGATCAGTGGACAGAGGGGATACACAGCAGAGCAGCCATCGGTCTCACAACACGGATGTCACAGGGAATTCAGACCTAATTCAAATAATGAACACTGGATTTCACTCAGATGAAAGACCAGGGGAAGAAACAACAAGCATATTGCAGTAAGGTAAGAAATCAACAATACTGGAAGGTGTTAACATTTCTGCCCGGAGTTGTGCTTTAATTGACCTCAGAGGTGGCGATGGCAGACAGATAAGAGGGAAATGGCCATGATGTGATGAGAAAGTAGAACAATTAAACCCTTGGTTTCCTTTTGCTCCTCAGCCTCTGCAAGTGCAGAGAGGGTTGTGTGTATGTATGTACAGTATGTATGTGTGTGTGTATATATATATATATATATATATATATATATATATATATATATATATATATATAAAATGTATGTGGGTGTGTGTGTTTGTATATAAGTGTGTTTGCATGACAATTTAATTCTTGTTATGGTCCCAAAAATTACTAGCAGTAAGTAGTCCCCTTAAGAAGTGGTGCACTCTTCTTAGACGTCTGTGTCACTGCCAGAAACATTACTGGAATTTGTTTTCCGGAATGCTTCGCAGTATCTTTGTTGTGGCATTCTGGATGTCGAGAATGTCATTAAATCTGTGTTCTTTTAAGTAATTTTTTAGTTTTTGCAACAGCCAAATGTTGCAAAGTACAAAGTCAGGGGTATAAGGTGGTTGGTCAAGTTTTGGAATATATTTCTGGACCAGGAACTTGCGAACACTTAACGCATCATGTGCAGGAGCATTGCCTTGGTGGAGAATCCACTTGTCAGGCCAAAGTTCTGGTCCTTTCCTCCAAACAGATTCTCTTTTCAGAATTTTTAAGTAGCAGTGTTGGTTGACCGCATGTTCTTGTGTCATCGTGGACATCTTCCTGCCCCTCCTTAAACTACCTATGCTATTCAGAAACACTTGATTTCCTCATGGAATGTTCACCATAAACCTGTTATAATAGAGATAAAGTTTCACTCACTTTTTCCAATTTTCACACAAAATTTCATGTTAATTTGCGGCCCCAGATTCCTGTCACTCATTTTCCGCCAACATCACAATGTACACGGTCACGTATATGTGTATGTGTGTGTATATGTGTATATATATATATATATATATATATATATATATATATATATATATATATATATATAAAATCAGCCATAGCTTTATGACCACTGAGGCAAAGGCACAGTAAATAACATTGATAATCTTATTTCAATGGCATGTGAAAGTGGGTAGGATATATTAGGCAGCAAGTGTACATGTTGTCACTAAAGTTGATGTGTTAGAAGCAGAAAAAAAAATGGGCAAGCATAAGGATTTGAGCGACTTTGATAAGGGCCAAATTGTAATGGCTAGACAACTGTTGCAGAGCATCTCCAAATCTGCAACTCTTGTGGAATGTTTCTGGTTTACAGTTGTCAGGACCTACCAAAATTATTTTTTTATAATTTGAATAGATTTCTTTTTTGAAAGGTTTAGAAATTAGAATTTTTAGGAAATTTTTATTTAGATTTTTTTAGATTTTTTTTATTTTTTTTTTCTGTGGTCCAAGGAAGAAAAACTGTTAAACTCGAGACAGGGTCATAGGCAGCCAAGACTCAGTGGTGCACTTGGGGAGCAAAGGCTGGCCTGTGCAGTCTGATACGAAAGAAGAGCTACTGTAGCTCCAATTTCTGAAACCGTTAATGCTGGTTCGGATAGAAAGGTGTCAGAACTCAGAAGGCATTATACAGTAGTTTGTTGTGCATGGGGCTGTGTAGCTGCATACTGGTCAGGGTGCCCATGCTGACCCATGTCCACAGCTTACAATGAGCATGTGAGCATCAGAACTGGATCACAGCAATGGAATATATTGGCCTGGTCTGATGAATTCAAGAATGTTTGAGGAAAACAGGTTCAAGGTGTTGACTTGGTGTCCAGATTCCCCAGATCTCAATCCAATCAAGCTTTTGTGGGGTGTGCTAGAAAAGCTAGTCCAATCCATGGAGGCCCCACCTCTCAAAGTTACTGACAGCTTGGACAGATCATGGACACAGATTTCATTTACACTCTCGCCCATTCACCACATATTCCATTCACTTCTCTTCTCAGTCAGAGAAAAGTGAAGTGCAAATGTTAATAAACTAGCTCCCCTCTGAGAGCTTTATACGCGGTGAAGGGACACATTGTGTAAAGGCATTCTACGTTGTATTTTACCAAAACGTAGGCCTTAGTCTTAAATTGAAATTCTTAAGAAGTTGTACATTTTAAAATGCCCAGACTCTTCCCTTAGCAATAACATTTAGGATTTATTAAAGCAATATTAAACAGTCACCACATTATTGCCTAGTAGTCTTTCAATAGATAACTCCTGGTACTGAACATTGGGAAAGCAGAAGGAATAAAAGTATAATGACTAAGTTAGTTAATTTGTGCATCTCTTAAAACTTCCCAGCTGATTGTAAACTCTGGTCTTTGTGGGCCCATTGGTTTTCACCTCCATCCCTCTATAGACATTATTTTATTTACACATGTTCTCGGCAGCTGCTAGAGCAATGGCTTTACAGGCTATGTCTATATTGTATTTACTCTTCAAAATATACAGAAATTCAAGTGATTTTAGGTCCTTTAGCCCTGGTTCACACTAATGTGACTTGTTATGCAAATTGACAGTTTCAAATTGCATGACAAGTCTCACCCTATTGAAGGCAATGAAACCGTTCAAATCGGTGCGACTCCGACTTTGCGGTGCTGCAACGATTTGAAAAAAATGTTCCTACACTATTTTTTTGCGATTTCGGGTGCGATTTGCATAGACATCTGTACATGAAGTAGCACAGATGTCAGCCAAGTCGCACCTGAAATCAACCTGCGGCTTTGAAATCGTGCGACTTCAAGTGAAGTCGCACGATTTCAAAGTTGGATTTAGTGTGAACCAGCAGTTAGTAATCACCACGATCTATGTGTACACAGTATTTCATCTGCACAAGTGACTAGAGGCAGACAGCATAAGATATTTTACAGGCTGCAATTATACAGTCTATTCCCCTTCTTTAATACGAAAGTCTAGGTCGGGTGTCGGCAACCCGCGGCTCCAGAGCCGCATGCGGCTCTTTTTCACCTTGGCTGCGGCTCCGGAGCACACTGCCCACCAGGTGACAGGCAATAGGGTCTTCTGTGTGCCGGGCGCCCGCTCCCCTCCCTCCTCTCGGGCGGCCGCCCCAAAAGTCAGGACTCTGCAGCTAGCCCAGCAATGGGCAAACTACGGCCCGGCGGACCTTTTAATCCGGCCCGCGGAGCGTGGCAAACATTGGCTGTCAGGATGTAGGCGGGGCAGCGTGACGAACTCCTCCCCTCTCACAGTCCGCCCTGAAGACCGTAACGGCGCGGGAACACGGCGAGAGGAATGCGCGGAGCAAAGGTAAGTGAATTGACACAATATGGGGAATGAATTACTATATGGGGGATGAATTACTATATGGGGGGGGATGAATTTACTATATGGGGGATGGGGGATGAATTACTATATGGGGGATGAATTACTATATGAAATTACTATATGGGGGATGAATTACTATAGGGAGATTTACTATAGGGGGGATGAATTACTATATGGGGATGAATTACTATATGGGGGATGAATTACTATATGGGGGATGTATTTTCAGTTTTGTAAAAATGTGGCTCTCAAAATAAATTTCAATCGTGGTTTTGGCGAGATTTGGCTCAGTTGAAAAAAAAGGTTGCCCACCACTGACCTAAGGCTATGATTGTGATTATGAGGATACACTGTGGCCCTGATTAACCCTTTGCTTACTGGGCCCTTAAACCCCCTTCATGACCAGAGCGCTTTTTGCAATATATGCAGTGTCGGATTTGTTTTAAATGTTGCAATGGTTTTGCGGCTCCCAGTCTTTTTTTCCCTCTCGAAAACGGGTCCAAGTGGCTCTTTATGTCTTAAAGGTTGCAGACCCCTGGTCTAGGTGAACTGAAGTGCATTAATCAATGCGACCAGTACTCTGTACACAGTATTTCATCCACCCAGAATCGTTATGAGAAGTGGTGGATTAAGAGCACATAGAGTATTGTAATTTGCAAACTACAATTACATTGTCTCTATCCCATTCCATAACTACTGCTGTAAATGGGGACTATTTCATGTGTCACAGATTGACATTTCTAACGCACATTTACCATTTTCTAGTTACCAGATGATTTTTGTATTGCATTCGGAGAAGCCAATGGAGAACTGTCTGTGGGTGGCGTTTTCTTACGAATATTCATTGCACAGCCTGCTTGGGTGCTGCGGAAGCCAAGAGACTTTCTGGTGGCCCTTCTGGAAAAGTTTACAGAATTACTGGAAAAAAATAATGCTCATGTAAGATTCTGTAACACTACTAAATTACTTTCAATCCTTAGCCTATTGTACATTTTCATCATGTTCAACTTTAAAAAAAAAAAAAAAAAAAAAAGTCTTATTACAAATAAGACTTTGGAGCCTAATAGCAAACAAGCAACTAAATACACATGCCAAAAGATTCTGTGTAAGCAGCCTTGTGATTCCCACAGCTCTACTGTACTGTATAGTCAGAATGGTAACACTGTTATTTTGTTATTTTTGATCTGCAACTTTCTAGTAACATTCAGTACATTGAATGATACATTTATATCTTATCACTGTTGTTTTTACTTTCCAATATACAAGCAGGGCAAACAGGGATCAGTAAAGCTGATTTTTTTTTTTCAATAGATGTGAGAATCCGATAAATGGCTGAACAGTTTAAAATCTTTTGGCTGGTAAAACCATTACCATGTAAATATTTCAGCTTATATTTAGCCAATTACCCGACAGTGTCAGAGTTGAACAATTTATAATATTTATTATATCAGTTCTCCCAACATATAGAACAAAGAAATTGATACACGGTCCTGTTTAGGCCCCATTCACACTTGGCAATTTCGAATTGTGGGTTGAATCGCTGCGATTCTGCCCGCGGTTTCAAATTTTGTCATTTGCTGCAAAACTCGTAATGTGCAATGGGTGGCATGCATTCTTAATGTCACCTCAAATACAGTATGATTTTGCTGTGATTGTCGCACGAAAGCAGCAAAACGCTCCTTTAAAAATCACGTGAAGCTTGCTGCCCAAAAAGGAGCAGGAGCTGCTTTGGACTACTAATGCGCATATGGTAGCCCATTGAAGTGAATGGGCTGCACTATGTTCAATACGCATAATCTTGTGAAAATTGCCCAAACAAAATTGTGAAGCAGGAACATGAGTTCCCACTGCACAAAGTCTGAAAGGGCACTTAGAGATTTTATGACCTAATTTATTGTAGGCTTTGTACAGAGTATTATTACACAAGTAATAATTATACACCGGGAAATGGCATTGAAATCAAACTGCTCAACTCTAATTCTTCCCTGCTGTGTAAAACAGTGTAAATTGTGAACTCAGTCTCATTAAGATCATGAAGAGACTTGAAGTACCTCTCAAAGCTGAGACTTGAATATCTCCCTGCCAGTGCTCAGGAGCTGGGAGCAGGCGTCAAATTCACTCAGCCTGAATTGTCAGACTGTATTGCATGGGATGTCGTTCAGACCAACCCAGTAGTAAACTAATTGTGAGGTCACACCCTCACTGCTTCGGCCACACACCCCGGTGTTTCACCCCGCCCACTGGGGGGCTTGGTCAAAGATGGTAAAGGCATTGCGATACATCAAAAACTGTTCATGCAGAAATGCATCTGAAACACAGAAATTGTGGGGTGAACCAGCCCTTCGATAAGATACTGTACCACTCTGTGCACCAAAATATTTATGTGAAATATAAATGCAGGTAAAAATAGTCACACATACATAAAATGTAGAAAACAATAAAAAGTACTGTGATTATTATTTCCCTTTAGGGAGAAACGTTAGAAACCGTGACCACTGCGACAGTTTGTCTGTTTAGTGCACAACCTCAGTTATTGGACCAAGTCCCACCTTTGGGTCACCTACCCAAGATACTCCATGCGATGAGCCACAAGAATAATGCTATTCCAAAGTGTGCAATACGGGTCATCCACACAGTGACAGATAATGAGGTAATTCAATACGTATTCTTTAAATACATGCTGTATATTAATAATAAAATGTATGCTTTAATAGATTCGGATTTATTTTTCTAGCTTTGTGTTCGATCAATGGCTTCACTTGAGACAATTGGACCTCTGATGTGTGGAATGAAAAAACGCTCAGACATGATAGGATTGGCATGTGAAGCACTTAACAGAATGTTCCAAAAGGAGCAAACCGAGCTTGTAGCACAAGTAAGAAACCATTTGAAGTCTGTAAAATAGCATTTTACATGTTGTTCACTTTCATTAGGACAGAGACACCTCTTTAATTTGAGCTACAGTGTAAAAATATGATGCCCCTCCCACTCCCCTATTGATGGGATGTTTGATGGTCGGCAAGTTTAGGGCTATTGTAAACCTGGCTATACAGTAGTAGAACTTTGAAATTTTTGTTGTACATTTTATCTAATCATTTGTGGGTCAAATCAAAGTTTGTTTTCGACTAAAGTGATTAGAAAATATGCAGGAGCAGGATAAAAATGTTTTCTCGAACAAATGAATTTCTTACAGTGTACATGGGTTTCATTCTGTAAAGTCCATTGCGTTTAAAAATTGAACGTTAAAAGAAAACAAATTTTTTAAGTAGCTTCAAATGACATTTGTCAAATCTTCGAATGTATTGAGAATGTTTGAAAATCTAATGTATGATAAGCTTGAGTGTCTCCAAGATTGAATGGCCCAAATCATTAGAGAATAAATCTGGACTCAACAAATGGGTATTTTTGTCCTAAACCAATTTTGCCTTTTTTATTGAACATTTTGTTTTCTTTGCTGAAGAATTTGCTGTTTCTTTATTATTCCAGAAAAGACATTTGTGTTTTATGTCCAATATTATATCAAATAATGTTAGATTTTGCATCACTGCAAAAGCTGAACTGCAGGTAGATTTAAACAAAAACACATTTTAAATAGTAACTCTGTCTTTAAAAAATATTGGATGTAATTCAGAAAGCTAGGAAAAGTACTGAGATCATTCTTAAAATGTATGTTATCCTAAATATTTTTCTATTTTCTATGTGCGTGTTACAAGTGTATTTTATGAATCATAGTCTCCATCATTTTCATGTACTACTTCCATCTGATGGACCTGGTTAATTATACCAGTCACCTTTCTTACTTGTTCTAAACTGACCACACAAAGCACAGGAGCTGATCTATGTTAGCATGGTCAGCTTTTGATGTGCGGAAACACAGCATGCCTGTATTGGGTAGTTTGTTCAGCCACCATGTACCCCAACCAGTCACAACATGCTTCAAGCACACTCCCTCCCAATCGCAGCCTTCGTCTTGCCCTTGGTTGAACAGACTGTGTCTGCACAGAGCCCTGTAACCCAGCCCCCAAACATCAGGAAAACAGAGGAATGGTCACATGACAGAACTTTTTAACGTTTACCAAAAAAGGTAAAAAAGATCATTTTAGTTTGTGACATGTTTTTGTTGTGTTCATGAAGCGTTGAAAACATTTAGAGTGCTTGATAAATGGCCATGAAAGTGTTGCTCTTCTAGTGTGAAGTGCCTAAAGGGGAAGTGATGAAAGATGGAGATGAAATGATCTACTTTGAGGTTTGGTTAAGTTGTGGTGTGGTAGCAGACATTTTTCTGAATTCTCTACAAGATGGGTTCATATACTTTGATCTCTTTGACACTTGGCTTGGTCCAGTTCAACTTTGCTGAAAGAAAAAGCTTTACCACAGGCAATAATGCTCATTGCCTCTGCTCCTACCCAGCTAACACTTCATAAATGCTTTACTAACATGCCATAAATGCTCTAGGTCTGTCAAGTGTTATCTCATGAAAGTGACATGTTGCTGAATTTTTAAAACAATACAACGCTCCTGCTCCTGTGTGAACAGCACTTTGAGGTGACATTGTAATATTCATGGCAGGTGTTGCAGGGTGGTTATAAATGCAAACACATAGCATTGAAACAGACGTGAACAAGCCCTAAGCCTGATTTTCAGGCAGCTGATCTTTGGGTAGTTTGCATTTTAGGCATTCAGGTATAGAGTGTACCCCTTATGTTCTTGGGCTAATCCCTTGCCACTGACACTCTTCTCACACCCTCTCTCCACGCCATTGCTCAGATTTACAGATCTTTCCCTGCCCCTTGGCAGCTACTTAACAAAGTGTCAGTTTACCTCTAGAGGTCCCATCCCACCCTCTCCCTCTGTGAAACCTTTTACCCTTAGGATTTGTAATGTCATCACTGGTACATGGTATCCCTCATCCGTCTTCTCCTCCAGAGGAACCCCTAGACCTTCTTGGTCAACTGAGGCCGACTTTGGGTGCTTTCTACCTTAACAGGATCTTCAGTCCTCAGTGTCACTCCTCCATGCCTGGTTCTTCACTGAGTTTGGTCTCCTATGTCTGTCCTTGTGCCTTTTTTTATTTTCCCCATTATGGGACATTCAGATGATTTTCATATGAAGAGTTGGTCTGGGCGGAAACATTTTGAGGTTCTATATGCCTGCAAGATCCGATTTGCAGTTGGAACAAGTTGGAAATTGCCTGCCACCTATATATGTGACATTACCAGCATAGTTCTGTGGTGGAGGGATCCTCAGCATGGTTACCCTAAGACCCCTCATCAGACTGGGAGTTACCATCCTGTCTCTTCTCCTTTTTACCCATCTCCTCCATTGAAGCGCCCTACTCTGTTTCCGGTCTGATTCCAGAGAAGATCTGTGTGTCTGCCTCTAAGTATCAGGTAGTTCCTGGCCTGAGCAATAAACTTTCCAATCAGATGCCCGACAAGGACTTTTCTCCTCAAGTTTGGGGGCAAAGGAGCTTCCTGTTTGGAAAATTAGCATCTCTCAGGATGTTTTTTGGATTTCCAGAACAGATGGTTCATTTTACATCGTAGGATCCCCTCTATGGTCAAGCCTCCTGGTTTGAACATTGTTGGACACCATCTAGGCACTGCTTTATCTTCAGCATCAAGACACTTGCTGTGACCCCCTTGAAGAAAACTCTTCCCAACTGATAACATCTGGATATGGGCGAGAGGCTAAGTCACCAAGGTGCATCTCAGACACTGCATTGCAGGTGACAGATGTTGGAGGAGGGTCCCCTGTCTTCCTGAAACATTCTGCAGGTGGAACCAACTAGCCTCCTGCTGCAGTTATCCCCCATCAGGAACACAGGGATTGCCTTGAGGCCTCAGTGGGACCTATCTGTCTGGGTTAGGGCGCTTTTTCTTGGTAGGTGAGGCAGATTTTGGCCGTGTTTCCTATTCTGGATTCATTCAGGCTAAAAATCCTGGTAAGATTCCGGTCCAAATGTAGAGTCTGACACATTCTTAGCCCTGTAACTCTGGACATTAAGAATTAATTTTATTTCTAGGAATCCTCCTAGGGCTCATCCCTGAGGTGCCTCTTGGATTCTGGTAAATTAGCTTCATCCTCTGCTACATAATGGTTGTAACCTGTCTTACCAGTTATTGTTAGGTTTTAATTTTTATCTCCTGCCTACTCTTGTTGGGGTGTTTCTGATGTGTCTTTACCCCTTTATCCATTCTGACTTTGTGTTATTAAATCCTGATATCTCCACTGAAGTCCTTTTCACACCCTTTGAAGGTTTTTCTAGTCAATTTCAGGGTGTATGTAAACTTGCCAAGTTGATTGCTTGTTCTGACAATCTCTCAAGGTATGGATTTCTTGAGAGATTGTCCCAACAGTATGAGTTCCCCTGTCCCTCGGGGCGAAAGAGAAAATAGGATTTTTGTATTCACCAAAAATGCTTTTCTATTTTCTAACTTCTATCTACTTATCACTAACCTGCATATCCATGATACTGTACAAAGTTTTCTGAACTCTTTTTTTACAAAGGTAAAATGCTTTTTTCTAGGCTCTGAAAGTGGAACTGGTTCCATATTTGCTAAGGTTACTTGAAGGACAAGGCCTGGAAAATCTAGAAAGTCCAGCAGCCACAAAAGCTCAGATAGTTAAAGCTTTGAAGTCAATGACTCGCAGCCTGCAGTATGGAGAACAGGTGAGTGTTCTGGTGAGACTGCTATGAATCCATTATATTTGACTGGTCACTAGTAGGGATGAGCTCAGGCGTGTTCAGATCCTAGTCCAAACGCACCTGAGTGATCCCACCAGGAAGTGGTCATTTGTACTGTACATCAGAGAATGCTTTGGCTGCTTATAGTTTTTACAAGTACAGTGAAAGCTTCAGACTAAGATCTAAACACGTCTGAGCTCACCCCTAGTCACTAGCTAAACAAATAGTTGCGGAGAAGCTCCTAATAAATGCAATTCACTTGCCCTTTCTAGGTAAATGAAATCCTGTCTCGATCCTCTGTCTGGAGTGCCTTTAAAGATCAGAAACATGACTTGTTCATTTCTGAATCACAAACAGCAGGATACCTCACTG